ACACACACACACACACACACACACGGGCGATGCTGGAGATTGCAGACCTCTGACCTAGAAGGAGAAAACTGCGCTCTAAAATCTTGAAAATTGCCCTGCTGGGAAGGGAGTATAAGAAACCAGCACTGAGCGTCAGCTCCAGTCTCTGCCAGTATAATTCTTAGGGGCATTTTGGCCAAAGCCTGGAATGTGCTGGGATTTCTGGGCAGAGGTATGACAAGGCTCCTATCGCTTATCACTGAAAGTGAGCTACGCTGTGGACCTAGGGGGCCTTGGTCCCAAGGAGCCCCATGGCTACTGCTTTTGTACTTTCCTCTCTCTCTGTTACCAGATGCAGCAAAAGGCGGTTACAAGTGAACTATTCAGGGGGAAGAAAGCAGGTTATGCAGAAGCCTTAAACCAGCCCTTTGCCAACAGTCGGATCGGTAATTATGTTTTTCCGTCCGTGCACTCGCTTAGAGGCTCAGAAGATGACTGACTCCGTAGCGTTTCCTGACCACAGCTGAGGTCTTGGTCACAGAGATGTAGACTCAGCAGATTCAAGGGGCTTTTGCACCGTGATGCTGTTTGGTGATGATTCGCTGTGTTCTGGTTCCCTCCCCAGACGAAGGAGAAATTAATCCCAAAGTACTTCAGCTCATCAGCCATGAGAAAATCCAGGTAGGGAAGTGGTGTGCCCTTCGTCAGGCAGGATTCCCTTAGGAAGCATGAGAACAGGGGCTGTCTTCTGTATGAGGAGGGAGGCGCTATTTAAATGCAGGGGTGTGAGTCGGTTAGGTGTCTAGCTCTTGATTTTGGCTTGGGTTATGATCTCACAACTGGGGAGACTGAGCCCCGCATGGGGCTCTGCACTGACGGCGTGGAGCCTGCTTGGGATTCTCTCTCTGACCCTCCCTCACTTGCATGTTTTCTCTCTCTCTCAAAATAAACATTTAAAACAAAAAAAACAAAACAAAACAAAACAAAAATAAATGCAGTGGTGCGTGGGGGTGGGTCGGGCTCAAACTGTAATGCTCTGGGTATTTTTTTTTTAAGTTTATTCATTTTGAGAGCGACAAAGACAGCATGAGTGGGGGAGGGGCAGAGAGGGAGACAGAGAATCCCAAGGAGGCTCCGCTTTTGGCACAGAGCCTGATGCAAGGCTCGAATCGTGAAATCAAGACCTGAGCTGAAGCCAAGAGTCGGACGCTTAACTGACTGAGCCATGCAGGCGCCCCAGGGATGCTCTGGGTATTAACAAAGACTGCGGGGCCCACGTGACCACCAGGTACCTATTGGCTGTTCTCACCGTCCTTAGCTGTCACCCTAGGAACTGGGTTGGGTTCTTCTATGAAATTGAGTGAAACGGCCATGAAATCGATCGTTGAACGCCCCCTATTAGAAGCAGGGTCGGCAGAAGCCGACGTGGGCGTCACAACTCAGTAGCTGTGCGCCATCTGGGCAGGTTACTTACGCTCTTGCTGCCTTCGTTCTTCTGTGGGTGGGGATGGCGGGGGTCACAGAGAGGCCCATGGGGTCCATGGCAGGAAGCACCATGTGGGAACACCTGCTTATCTGAGCCTCTATTTGAGTGCTGGAAGCTAGGAACTGAGTACTCTGCCCTCAACCCCAAGAAGTCACCTTCGTCTCACAGTGATGGTAATCTCCTTGCAGTACGGTATCCCAGTCATTAAATATGACAGAAAGGGCTTCAGGGCACGGCAGCGACAGCTTCTCCTCACTCAGAAAGCAGCTTATGTGGTGGAACTTGCCAAAATCAAGCAGAAAATAGTGTACTCAACACTCAAAGGTAAGAAGCCGGCAACCTCATGACTGTTCATGGGGTAGACTTAGCTTCTGGGCACACCAGTTAAGGGAGACACCCTCCAGTGGAAGATGGTTCGGGGTGCCCATAAAGCCTGGGGCTGCTGGGCCTGGCCTGTACCTCTCTTCCTGGCATAAATATCAACAGCCACCCCTACGCTCCAGTATCCAGCTTGCATAACTGTCCTCTTCTCTGATGACCCGTGTCGTATTCTGAGTGCAGACCTTCACAGCCTCATGGCATGTGGATTGCTGGAGGGTGCCCTCTTTCCTGCTGGGCCCAGCTAGGGCGGGGGGTGGGGGGGCTAGGCGTGGGGCTGGGGCACCCCCAGGCATGCCTCCTCTTCTGTATTGACGTCAAGTCGTCCGGATCCTGGTCCCTAACTCTGGATCTGTCTTAAGGTGTCTCCACTAGCAGCCTAAGTGATGGGATCTTGGTCATTCATGTTTCGCCAGAGGACAGCAAACAGAAGGTGACTGCCGGCCACCCATCTCTGCCCACAGAGGGAAACCAGTGCTGCAATATTTGGTTGCCTGCCGCACAGCCTTGATATTGGAGAGTGTTTTCTTTTGAGCCACTGCTCCTGGGGCGCCTGGGAGGCTTGGTCGGTTGAGCGTTTGACTTGGCTCAGGTCATGATCTCACGGTTCGTGGGTTCGAGCCCCACGTTGGGTTCTGTGCTGATAGCTCAGAGCCTGGAGCCTGCTTTGGATTCTGTGTCTCCCCCTCTCTGCCCCTCCCCTGCTCATGCTGTCTCTGTCTCTCTCTCAAAAATAAAAATTTAAAAAACCCTTGTAAGCCACTGCTCCTGGAACAGCCGTGTCTCCTCCTCAGGGGGATGCCGTCTTACAGTGTGAACACGTATTTGAAGCCGTTACTAAGCTCGTCATGCTGGCGAAGAGGGGGAACATTGTCAATGTTGTCCAGGGGAGGTAGGTCGTCCTTTCCAGCGATTGCTTGTTCACATAGGGAGCGTGGTCTCACAGCCCTGTTCTCTGAGGAGGGCCTGATGCTCCTGAGGGAAGCGGTCACTGAGTGACCTCTGGGCCAGGGCACGTGATGGCCACACCTTTCCTGTTGATGCTTGTTGTTGGGGATGGTTGGCTGAGTGCGGTGGGCCAGAGCTCTGCAGGCTGCCTTCCTGCTGCTGAGGCTCCTATTAGGTCTCAAGTCACTGACCTCATGAGCAAATCCGTATGTGCGAGATGGGGAAAGGGAGAGGGGGCTGGTCTCGCTGGATCCCAGAGGGGAGACCCCCCCCATAAGAGTTTCAGAAGGACCATGTTCTTCAGACACCAAATTGGCCCCTTGAAGGACTGAACGTGCTAAAGTAGTTTAAGAATAACCACAGGAACGTGGTAAGCTTCTCAGTTACGGAAACACCGGTCTTTTGGGTACTCAAATACACAATAAAACTATAACGAAACAGGAATTTAATCTTGAAACCAGCAAAGCTACACCAGTGAATTTCTTCTGTAGACCAAAGGCAAAAAAGAGAATGTAATCGATGACTATGTCCATTTTCAGTTTACAGTTTTATATTAGCCCTGGAAAAGAAGGCACGATCGTTTTCGACACGGGACCGGAAGAACAAATCTATAAAGATAAAAATGGACAGTTAACAGTGGTGAGTGGCTGGGCGGGGGGAGGTGTGAGCAGTCTGACATGAGAATATAGCCCGTTCATTTCTCCCTCTACTCTTGATCCTGTATCAAAACAACAGGAAGGTACGGATACCAGAGGTGGAAATTCGCACACTGAACAAAAGGGGAATAAAAGCAAGTTCACCTCCCATTTTGGGGGGTTAGTGAACAGGAACTTGACATCAAATCCTCGGTTTTAAATGCCGAAGCTACCTTTTCACTGCGTGGCAAAGGCCTTCTGCCTGATCACAGTGGCTCTCAACCATCTTTCCCACACTGGAGTCTCCTGTGAGCTTCAAAAAGTACCAGTGCCGGAGTCTCAGCCCTGGACGCTGTGATGTGATTGGCAGGGGTGTGGCTGGGGCTTTGGAATGTGAGCACTCTTGGGTCTGATCACGTCCAGCCCAGAGTGCTCCATGCTCTGTCCTCCCCGCGGGGGCCCACCGTGCTCTCAACTGTCCTCACTGGCAAGTAGTGCACAGAGCTTAGTATGATCCAATTTTGCTAGGACACAACCTATCAAAACCCGAGCGGGCTCAGTGCTTAAGATGTATTTCGTATGTGTACCCAGTATTCTTAGTTGATGCAAACGAATGAGGAAATGGTGTTGAAATAGATCTTGTGCCTACTTAAATTTATACTCCCTTAACTGTGAAACTGTGTGGGGGGGATGTAAACAGTACACAAAAGGCTTTCGTAACAGAAGTGGCCCTAACCTCCTTCAGGGAGAAGTTGAAATCTTTAAGTGTTATTTTTGAATGTAAAGCATCAGAGGACTTCTCCATATACATGCTGTCTCAGGGGTGTGACCTTCAGGAGTAATTCTGTCCTGAGCATCCCATGGCCTGCCTGGCTCGGGCTGCAGAGGCCAAGCAGCCTGAGTGGATCTTTGTCTAGACGCCCTCTGCCGGGAGTCAGGGGGGGCTGGCCTCTCCCAGCTGGGCCTCGCCCGCCGCGGACCACGGGGTGAGGACATGGCTCTGAGCGCGGCTGTGGCTCTCTCCCAAGGTGTCGGTCGGCACGGCATCCTCCTGACCGCTCCCGTGGCTGCCTGTGCTCCGGATGAGGAAAGTGCCCAGAAAGTGGGAGGCTGTCCAGGTGGCTACGCCTTCTGGGAAAGGGGAGAGCGGCTCTAGGAAACGGAGATCCCATATGGAGAGACCGAGGGGCACCTGTCCCACTCCCGGCTCTCTGCTGCCCTGGGGTGTGGAGGTGAAGGGTCCTGTTTGGGAGGCCCAACCTCAAGTCGCCTACGGGGATGGTTTTCCGTGTACCTACCCGGACCTTCACTAGAAGGGGACATGAACATGTCATTCTAGGGTGGGCAACAGCTTCTGTGCCTTTGTCAAGGCTGAAGGAGTAGGTATGGCCTGAGAGGGAAATTTCATAAAGCTGCAGAATTTGCATTTTGTTTTAAACTCCCCCCTCCCACCCGCCCCAGACATCAGGGTGATAAAGCAGAACGAACAGAGGATTCGGGCCTTGCTGCTTTGCTGCAAACCCCACCGCACTGGCTTGACTGTGCCAGGTGTTTCTGTAAAGATGTGGGAAACATTTCAACAGAAGCATGACGTAACTTTTATTTCACACGTCCACAGATGCTTGTACAACACACAGTGACTACTTCTAATGTTTACAGCATTTTTTCCCGTAGCACAGAGAGCAAGGTTAGTGACACACAGGTGCGCTACAGTGACGCTGGGTGGAGCCCTAAAGGAGGGCAGAGCGGTGCGGACACCTGGGGCCCGAGCTGCCGCTGTGGGGTGCGGGTGAGCACGCACAAGCCGAGGGTGGGGTCCCTGCTCCTCGGCCAGGCTGCTCCTCTGCTGACCTGGGGGCAGGGGGAGGGGACAGAAGAGGCTACTCCAGATTGTCACAGGCACAGGCCCCCGGGCCCCACAGACAAGGACTTCTTGATGACAAGGGACCCAGAACTGTTCTACTTTAACTGTAAGCTCTTACAATGTAATAAAACACTTGACCGCATCTCAGGCCAGCGTTTTTACTTAGATGGTTCTCCCGTATAACTATTGACCTTTGTTTGCCCTTCGTGCTCACATAAAAATCAGTTCCTTGTAGAATACATTTGCCAACAGAGCTTGGACCAGCCAATGCTTCCTGTCAGCTCCTGGCTACACAGCTCACGGAATCCTTCAGCGCGGAATGTCTCAGGAACCTGTTCCGATCCCAGGAAAGCAAAGACTCAGAACGAACAAGTGTAGGAAAAGTGTAGAGACTGCCAGAAACATGAGCTCAGACAGTGTAGACACCCAAACAAATCCGATTGTTCCACAGACTTACTCTTCACAGAAAGATTTTAAAAAACAATTCATAGGATGGCTTTTCCATTCCTACAGAAAATGTCAGAACTGACATTTGCTTTAACTTTCTAAAAAAAGTTCAACCCAAATGCCAGGGTTGGTGTTTAAAACTGAAACGGTATATAAAATATTTACGAAACCGTGTCTAAGCCCCCTTTCCTGTGCACTTAAGAAAATCCAAAGGGCCTGGTAGGAAAGTTTCCTACACACAACAGTTTAAAAAGCATCGACCCCCATACATGATTTTTAGGTTCAGTCAAGATTGAGAGTTTTATTGGAGGCTTTGCTGCTGGATACAAAATAAAGGCCTATGACTGTCCTGAGAAGGGCAGCAGGTGCAAAGCCTAAGCCATAAAAACCATTTCAAAATAGAAACTCGTTTTTTTGGAATACACGGTGTCAAAGGCTGCCCACGTTAACACCTTTGGTATAAAACAGTTACATTTCCCTTGAAAAGCAGACAAATCCCATCCATTCCTTCACACGCGCTCACGTTCCCCTCTAACTACTCTACCTAATCTAGTCGCAGCCACATCAGCCACAACGCGCTTCTGTCCCTTCACGGGCGCAGAGGAGACTGGGAGGTAGGGCACCGAGAACGTCCGTCCTGCAGAAGCAACTGTGCGGACGGCCGGGCTCCAGCGCTGGCCCCCTGCACCCCACAAGCACACGTCCCCTCCACAGTCGCACACGTCCCTTAAACACGAACACACACTCGTAACCGGACCACAAAGGATCTGCACAGCCTTGCGCTCCTGCTCACCGTGGCCACACTGTAAAAATCAGAGGCAAAGACATGAAGGGGATCTCCGGGGGACGGGTGCCCGGAGATTGCTGGTGGGGGTGGGCTTCCTGCCTGGATGCCAGGCTCAGGCGACGGCCGGGCCACGTCTGCTTTCTAAGCAAAAGGCAGGGCTTCTACTTGAGACAGTGAGCCCAGTTAACAGAGAAGAAGGCCGAAGGCAGAGGAAAGGATCCCAGGAAGCAGTGGGGTGTGAGCTCACCTGGAACCAGGCCAGACGGCCTTCCCAGCATGGAGCTGGCCAACAGGGAGGGCAGGGGGAAGGGGCGGGAAGGGGTCGGGACTCCAGCCCTCCATGCCAGGGACAGTTCTGCCCTTGGCCAGGCATGTGGGGTCCCCATGAGCAGGGACCCCAGGTCAGCCCAGGTGGCAACAGGCCTGCCCCTGCCCCAGAGCGGGGCACCCAGAGCCAGGCCAGGCCAAGTTAGAGGCACGGAGCTCATGAGTCCTATCTTCCACGCCACAAACTGCAATCATTTACCAGTAAGCTATAGACGCAAAATCCTGCTGCCGAAGGGCTTTCAGCAAAACACCGGGCGGCTGCGCAGCTAGCACACAGGAGCCAGCAGCCAGTGTGCTTGGGGGAGGGGAACACAACCAAAAAGGATGCTCACGGGAACCTCTGGTGGCCACCGAGGCAGGATCCCCCTTGGAGCTGTCCAACTGAACCCCAAGGGAATGCCACCCCGAAGTTCAAATAGGTAGTCCACACCCACAAAAATAAATAGCGCAAACGACATTTCTCACATCCTCTTCACACCCATTCATACTTTTCTCCGAGAACCCAGAAAGCCTGGCTCCAAGGAGTCCCCGATTCCCGCGGAAGGGGGAGACCTTGGACTCGGCTTGCTCAAGAACTAGGGTGCATTCGCCTGGGGACAGACAGTCACCTGGTCAAAAAATATCAAAATAATCATCTGGCTTATTACAAAAGTATCTCGAGCCTCCGGGGAAAGTGGAAGGCACCCGGAGCCCGCAGGAGTCGGAGTGAAGAGCAGGGGAGGAGGGAGGTGGGAGGCGGCTGGCTCGCTCGCTCACTGGTGGAGGTGTGCCCGGTCGTCCGGCCGCTTGATGTGGATGCGCCGCACACGTTCGATGCGCTCGCGCTCGCGCTCCTCGTCCTCGTCCAGGTGGTGGGAGCGGCCGGCCGCCCCGCCCGTGGCCTCCAGGAGCGCGTTGTCAGGTCCTCGGCCGTCCTGGGCCTCGTACAGCAAGATATTGAGGGTCTCCTCATAAATCCGGGCCTCTGGGAACTCCACCTGCATCCCCACAACACACAAGGCAGGTAGGTTAGCATCACCCCCCCCCCCCAACACCCTTGCTACCTCCTGGGGCTGCCGGGCAGGGCTGCTGGCCCCATCGGGCCCGGGAATACCGTTTAAGGCGTCCTTGTTAAAGCAGTTTTTGTTTTCAATAGGCAATGCTTACACGCAGCACTTGACACAACACGGAAGAAAAGGGATGCGGTGCAGATAAACGTGCGTCTACACACACACATTCACACGCTTTAGAACACAAAAAAGGTGACCCACCACACACCCTTCACCTTTTGCTTGCCCCTAACATAGGAGATCCCTCCACATCTGGGAGCGTAACAGCGCAATGAACCAGCGAGGTCGTTTCCAGCAAGTTTCTCCTAACCCCAGACCTCTTCTCCTGCAGCTGCTCCCCGCCTCAGAGCAGCCTTTAAGGCGGTCCTCTCCGAGCAAGGACAGCCGGAGAGGACACGACCCCTCCTGTGTGGTGAAGCTCTGTGCCTGCCCTCGGGGCTACGGCGCCACGAACCAGGGTGGGGGCTGCACAAGGGGTCCCAGGCACCTGACTCACAGAGACTTGGCCTTCGAGGGCAGGATTCGGAGGTTCTGAGAGAAATGGGGAGAGTGCGCTCCACTCTGTATTTCCCACGGAGGCCACAAGACCGGGAGAGGGAGTGTGCGGTGGCCGAGGGCTGGGACAGGAATCATGGCGGCCAGGTTGGGGGGACAGACGTGTGGAGAGGCCTCTAACTAGGAGTGAGTTTATGGCTTCTCCCCCACCAGGACTGTCCAGAGGGAGGTCAATGCGGCCTGTGACCCCGAAACTGGCCTCAGCTCAGAGAGCTCGAGAGGGGCCACCAGAGTCTCCCAATGCCCAGAGAGTGGAGGAAAGTTCTCGGTTTCCTTTTTCCTTTTCCCCATCCCCTTGCCCCCCAAACCCACTCCACCCCACATCTTGTAGCACCAACAGCTGGAGCCTGGGGAGTCCAAACTCTGAAGGGGAACCTTCCTTTCAAATTAGGAGAACTGTGGTCTCATCAGGACGTAGCAAATCTGGGCTACGGTTTTCCTCTAGCTTCTTCGTGCCACTTGGCTCCAGGGCAGGGTAAAGCCGCAGGTGGTGTGGCAGAGCGGGGAACTGAAGCCCAGCCTTCTGATCAGGTGACTGAAAAGGGGGAGCCCCAGGGAAGCAGAAAGCACCAAACGATTGTGCAGGAGGGGCGCTCGGGAAAGCAGCTGCCTGAGGTTGTGCGTGAGCCCCTGGGCCTGAGCCCGGCTGCCAGTCTGTCCCTCGACAGCACGCACAGAACTGAGCCATGGGACAGAGCACTGCCGCAGACACCGACTGGACCTTAGTGCGGCTCGGACCTGAAGGCTTTGCAAACTGGACTGCCATTGGAACCGCAACCCACAGCTGGCTGGAACTTGTGACCTGAACCCAAGTGGGTACGCTGCCTACTAAAACAATAAAAAAAAAAAAAAAAAAGAAAATCAATGTTCTCTTTAGGATTTAAACAAGCTCTAAAGGGGCGCCTGGGTGTCTCAGTCAGTTAAGCGCCTGACTTCAGCTCAGGTCATGATCTCACAGTTCATGAGTTCGGGCCCCACATCAGGGTCTGTGCCAGCAGCTCAAAGCCTGGAGCCTATTTCAGATTCTGTGTGTGTCTCTCTCTCTCTGCCCCTCCCCCGCTCATGTTCTGTCTCCCTCTGTCTCAAAAATAAATAAACACTAAAAGAATTAAAAAAAAATTTTTTTTTCATTTTTGAGAGGGAGGAGGGGTGGGGAGCACAGAGGAGCCAAAGCAGGCTTGGGGTGCCTGGGTGGCTCAGTCGGTTGAGTGTCCAACTTTGGCTCAGGTCATGATCTCACAGTTCGTGGGCTTGAGCCCCAGGTCAGGCTCTGTGCTGACAGCTCAGAGCCTGGAGCCTGTTTCAGATTCTATGTCTCCCTCTCTCTCTGACCCTCCCCTATTCACACTGTCTCTCTCTCTCTCAGAAATAAATAAAACATTAAAAAATTGTTTTAAAAATAAACAAACTCTAAAGCCCTCTAACATTCGGAATATCCAGGATACAACTGAAAGTTCACAACATCAACAAACAACCAGAAACATCTCAACTCCTGAGGGCAAACAGAATCAACAGACACCACGTCCAGGACACAAGATGCTGGAATTAATCTGACGGAGACTTGCAAGCAGCTATTACAAAAACGTCCCCACAAGAAAGGGTGAACTCGCTTAAAGCAAATGCAAACATAGGCTTCAGCAAGGAAACAGAAGATAAAAGATATCATGTTACTGAAAAATACAATAACCAAGATAAACACACATACACACAAACTTACTGGAAGAGCTTAATAACAGAATGGGGATGACAGAGTCCGTGAACTTGAAGACAGAGCAACAGAAGTAACAGTCTGAACAACAGAACAAAGAAGACCAATCAAGGGCACAGCTCTGTGCTCTATTAACACCAAGTCCCTAGTGAGTCAGAATCGAGAACCAAATGGACAACATATGTATTAATTATTTGCTTAAACTTTAACTTCAGCAAGCCAAACCCTTTCCGGCTTAACCACAAAAGACAGTTAAACGATTAAAGGAATTAGTAAAGCACTTGGAAGATTGTACCAAGAAAGATCACAATTATACAAAAAACCCCCAAAGGAACATCAGTATAGTTACTTGAAACAACAAAATACGAACGTCCGCTCCAAAGCACAGTCCCGAAGGTGTGGGCTGGAAGGGACCTGCTCCCGCAGGGACAGCCACGGCCCCACATAAACCCCCTGGAAATCCAGGCATGTGTTTCCCCTGAAGAAGGGAAGGAGCCCTTGGGGACAGGAGCAAAGGGGGCCGTGGCTAGGGGCCCAGGCCGGCCACCTGAATCCCTGCCTCTAGCCAATTTCAAAAACACAAGCACAAGCTCACTCCAGAACCTGTTGGCTAAGCTATAAATGGTTGGGATCAGGTCAGGAGACCTCTGAATCCTTTGTTCCCTGCTGAAATCTAAAAACGTAAAGTCAGTATTTTGAAGCTTAATCAGATTAATATGATGGTCATCCTGTTAATATCCAAGGGCAAAGGCAACCTGTGCATATAACAAAACCAACTGACAAGGCGGGGAAGCTGATTATAAATGGAATTCATGGCTCTAAAGAACAGTACGCGGGAGAAAGGAGGCAGGTGTCTTGCCGATGTGGTAAAGGGAAGCGAGCGACTCTGATCTCCCTGCTACCTTTGAAAGAAAAAGAAACCTTAGGGGTTTTCCCTCCTTAGCTACCTTTAACTAGTATCCATCTTTCAAGACATATTCCAAATACCAATGACAAAATGTTTTAAAAGTTTAAAAAAGGGGCGCCTGGGTGGCTCAGTTGGTTAAGTGTCCGACTTCGGCTCAGGTCATGATCTCACAGTTCATGGGCTCGAGCCCTGCGTCGGGCTCTGTGCTGACAGCTCAGAGCCCGGAGCCTGTTTCGGATTCTGTGTCTACCTCTCTCGCTGACCCTCCCCTGCTCACACTGCCTCTCTCTCTCTCAGAAATAAATAAAACATTAAAAGAAAATTAAAAAGTTAAAAAAAAAAAAACGTTTACAACTCTGGTTTCTACTCTGTGGTCTCATGTTCTGCCCTTTCTTTGGAGGCTAGCTCTAGAATCCCACACAACTGTGTGCTCCCGGGGCCTCAGTGAGGACGGGCACCTGACTGGGTGACCTACAGTCTTGTGTGTGAAAACCTGTGAGGCAGACCCACCGCAGGTCCCTGGGAATTGGGATTCCCTTAGCAAGGTTCTGAAGGAAGTGACAGAGTATACTGGGAGATGTATATTTTGAAAAGAGGAAGAAAACCATGCTGCAGAGCCCAAGAAGGGTAAGCAAGCAAAAGACCTCCAGGGAGCTAAGTTCGGTTAACAGAGGACCAGATCTCCAACCACACCCAGCGGTATTGCTGGTTTGTAGAGGAAGATACAGAAGTAGGTCCACAGACTCCAGAGTCAGGAAGTGGTGTGCTCAGAAGGAAGCCAACAAACCTGGGCGCTATGGGATGCCAAGCAGGCCCCGTGTGGGTGCGGGGCCACTCCAGGTCAGTGGGCCAGAGGAGGGCAGACCGATGGCAGAAGTCGTAGGTCATGACGAGAAAGCCAAGGTCAAGCTCTTGAAGGTATCACCATTCCTCTGATGACTGAGATGGGGTGGGGCCACGCTGGGGGGAAATGGTGGTGCTGCGGAACACTGACCCATCACCGGCAGGAGTCAATGCAGGTGGCAGGGTGACAGTGGTACGAGGCTACATCTGAATCGACGTTTACAGCCAAGGGACTTAGGTGCCACAGGACCGTCCCTAGTTGCTAACCATCAGAACGGAAGTGCCATTCTGTTTCTCCAAGGCCTACAGTGGACTCTCCAGGGCCCATCAGACAATGAGTGTTTTCACAATGAGTGGTCGTAGTGCAGCAAGGAAAGCGTTTTCAAAGCCTTTCCCTTCTTAGGTCTATTTTGCTCAAGGGAAAGGGAAGTGGCATTTCAGATGGGCCACTCAGAGCCGTTCCCTGAAGCGCTTACCTTAGTCTGTTTCTTCTCAGTGGCATAGACGATGGAGGTACAGCAGACCTCGGCGATCTTGCGGCCCTGCCCATAAAAGGACCAGCAGCAGATTTCATCCCCAATGACGTCCTTTATGAACAGGACCCTTCCATTAAAGCGCAGAGAGAGCTTATCAAAGAGCTCTATGTTTTTCAACATATTGTCGTCAGAATTGCTGCAAAAGAGCATTTGGTAAGGTGACCTCAGGCTGGTCCTATCGGCAGCTGTGTTTCCCATCCCGTTTCAACCTCCCGAGGACCCCAGGAGGAGAGCACTGCAGTCCCCACTGCTCCACGAAGGAAAGGGAGGGCCGCAGAAAACGGGTAACTGCCCAAGGCCAACATGTCAGAGCCAGGCCTCAAGAGAGACAGCTCTGGCCCCTAAGCCCATGCTCCTAACCAGCATGCCAGAGGGGCCGCCAGGCTGGGCTCTGCTGCAGCTGGAATGAAACGTGAAAATCTCGGGGCCTGTGGCACAGGCACCAGGTGGGGGGAGCCCCGCGAGTGACAGGACGGGACTACACAAGGGACACTCTTCATCTTGGGTTAATTTCTGGGTCTTGAGTAACCTCATTAGACCCCCTACAACTGGGACCACATGGTCCCAAGAGCCAGAAGGCAGTCTAGAAACCTATATATATTGCCAGTGGGAATGTGAAATGGTGCAGGTGCTTTGGAAAAACAGTTTGGCACCCAAATGACTACAGCTAGGGTTGCCACGGGGCCCAGCAATTCCGCTCCTAGGTACACCTAAGAGAAATGAAAACCTCTGTCCACACAGCAATGTATGTAACGAATGTGCTATGAGCGTTCATTAGCAGTGTTCATGATGCCACCCCGCCCCCCCCAAAACAGAAACCCTGATCACACATCAACTGATGAACGGATCAACACGCAGGGGCTACCCACAGGATGGGGTATTATTCACCATAAAAAGGAAAGCAGGATTGATACACAAGGATGACCTTGAAAACAAGCTAAGTGAAAGAAGCCCGTCACAAAAGGCAACATATTGTACAAGCCCATTTACAGGAAGGGTCCAGAGCAGGCAAATCCACACAGAGGGCAGTGTCTGCCAAGGGTTGGGGAGGGGTGGGGCGGTGAAGAGTGACTGACATTGGGCTTCTTTCTAAGGCAATGAGAATGTTCACAGAGTAGGGGCGTGGCGAGGGCTGAACAAGTCTGTAAATACACTAAACATCACTGAATTATATACTTTCAAAGTGTGTGTGTGAATTCAATCTCCTGTCATCTGTCACCCTGGGCACTTTTGAGGTACAGACAGCCAGCCTCCCTGGAAGGTAAAAGAGGGGCTGGGTCCGTGTGGTAAGTGTGGGAAGCTTTCCTGGCGAGTGTGGACAGCCTTCCCCACTGACACCTTACCTGGTATACGAGTATTTGTTGTTACTTCTGTTGTAGAGCAGCTTCACAGCCGGCTGCGGGTTGTTTTAAAAAAGAAAGAAGAGAGTCACTTGGAGTGGAGGCACAGAGGACACGGGCTTCCCGTGGGGCTGGGCCCTGTCATCAGGCCCAGAGGCAGCTGAGCACAGCCTGCGGGCTGGGGGAGGGGGTGGGCAGGGAGGGAGACAGCAGGAGCCAATTCTGGGGGATTGGGTTCCCACTCTTCACCCCTTCTCAGCCTTTGCTCAGGCACTTACATAGGTTTCAGTTTCAAAACTTAGTCGTGACTTCAGCAGCCAAAGAAACACCACAGGGGTGCTTCCAACGTACCTTATTTGAAGTCGCTATAAGTTTCTGCTCTTCCTTGGATGAGGTGATGACGGGAACTTTGCAGAAAGGCTCATAAGTATCTTTGTTCTGCTGGAACAAAACATGCTTTCAGCCTAGGAGGCCTGCCCAGCATCGGATTAGTTAAGCTGGCCTGCTGGGTAAAGGCGGGCTCTGGCGAGGGAAGACGGGGCCGCCAGTGCTGGGAAGAGAGGAGGATTCTTACCACCAGTGAATTAGGGGGAGGGGGAGACGGCCGAGAGTCAAGTTCTCTAGTAGGTCTGCTCTTTGGTCAGGGTGCTCAGTAAATCCTAACAATGAGAACACATTTCCACCGCCCAGGGAGCCACTTGAAAATAAACTCTAGGGACAGTCAGTTGGCTCAGTCGGTTAAGTGTCCGACTTCTGCTCAGGTCATGATCTCACGGTTCGTGGGTTCGAGCCCCGCGTCGGGCTCTGTGCTGACAGCTCAGAGCCTGGAGCCTGCTTCAGATTCTGTATCTCCCTCTCTCTCTGATCCTCCCCTGCTCACGCTGTCTCTCTCTCTCAGAAATAAATAAAACACTAAAAAACATTAAAAAAAAAAGAAACTAAACACAGCAGATGAAATATGATAGTGTCAAAACACCTAACGCCCCACTGCAACAGCCATGCAAGAACTTAGAAAGTATAAGCCTACAAGGAGAAGAACGGGAGAGGGGAGGTCAGCAGACAAAAGATGTCAAAATTCTGAGGCTGGGGAGCAGATGAGGAAGAACTGAGGAGAAAGAGAAAGCTGAAATCTGCGTCAGCAAATGGGAAAGAATCTGGAGATTTTCAAAGAACAGCCCTGAAGGCTGGTGGGCACAGGGCCAGAGCAAAGGACTGTCAACCAGTCAGCAGAAACACCGGTGAGACCCCACACTCCCCAAATATATCCTCTTCCCCTGGCGGAAGAAAGGTCTACCTTCCTGGAGCAGTTTGTATGGGTGAGGACAGGGCTGAGCAGCTCTACTAAAAACAGGGGGATTAAGCGAACGGTCGACACACTTAACAGTGAGCCCCAGCCCCTAACTCGTTCCTCCACTCAGATCGCAGAAGACGGCCAGTCAGGCTTATACCCACCAGGCAGGAGTGGAGGATTCCTCCACAGGGAACCAATCTGTCCAGGAAAAGGCTTACAGATTGGACACTGGGGATTCCCATGGAAAGAGCCTTTTCATCCACCACTGAAGCCCTGACGCCTGCTGGATGAGGCCCACCCACGCACACACAGCTTTTCAGAACCCTGCTCTTCAATTTTAACAGACCAAAGATCATCAGATTATATGCAGAAAGCCTCTCAACCGTGAGACTGAAACCAAAACAAAGAGAAAAGGGAAGGGAAGGAACACGACGATGCAGGCGCAGAAAGAAAACTTCAAATAGTATTATCAGATGAAAAGCACATAGGGAATCCTATGAAATAAGATTGGTGTTCTATGTAAGACAGCACTCAGAGAACATGAAAATGCTCTTGGAAATTAGAAATATGATCATAGGAATGAAAAGTTAGAAGAGTTGAAAAGATAAAATTGAAGAAAACCTCTGAGAAAGTAGAACAGAAAGGTAAAAGTGACAGAAACTGGGAGGAGGTCAGTCCTAGAGGTTTAACTTCACACTAACAGAAAGGGAACCTGGAGGGCGTGTCTCTAAGACAAAGATGAAACCGATTCACTGGTGTGTCTAAACACACCAATAGGAGACCGACCTTTCTGACCATTTAGGGATGAAACAGAGGTATGTACTTCGAAAACCAAGCAGACAAAACAATGAGGCAGTCACTAACTCTGGCAAACCGAAAAGCGGCACAATAAAAATCTTCACTGTATACTCTGTGGCTCAACTGTTAACAATATTTAGACATTGCAATGTAAACTCTGAATACTGATTTAACCAAAGTTAAAGTTAAAACCTAAGTTTGGTAGTGGTTGGTGGTAGTGCATGAGCAAAAACTTAACTGTTGTATAGCAACACCAATAGATGATGTTGAAAACTGAAATGTCAATAAACAGCAGTGGAAGAAATCTGAAAGTAAACAGAGGTATGGAAAGAATTAACAGAGGAGAAAGATATGATGTACATACATTACTTCCACAAACAGAAAAATGAGGGGTGCCTGGGTGGCTCAGTCAGTTAAGCACCTGACTCTGAACTTCGGCTCAGGTCATGATCTCATGGTTTGTGAGGTTGAGCCCCGAGTCAGTGCAGAGCCTTCTTGGGATTCTCCCTCTCCCTCTCTCTGACCCTTTCTCTCTCATGCACATACGCGTGCATTCTCTCTCTCTCTCTCAAAATAAACATACAAACATTAAAAAAACATAAAAATTAAAGGCTACGGTATTTGGTTAGATTTACAGCGAGTTCACAGACTCTCAGGTAGAGGTGGTGCATAGAAACAACAGCTCCTCAAGGAGCTAGGCAGTATGGGTACTGTTTGAGTGGAGGGCCAGACAGACGTCTGAGCCTGAGGGAGGCACCGACCGACAAGAGCCTCATGTATACAGATCCAACTCCTGTGGCAACATGAAGGGACTCTTCGGATCCTCTGCCATGTTGGAACTTTGTTTGAAATAAATGACCGCTGGCTAGGTCTAGGGGCATTCTGGTCTTATAGGAATTCTGCTATCACCAGAGTTGACTCCAATGGTCCTAACCCAGGTCCAGCTGAGGAGTAAGGGGTGTCTGAGTCTGCAGAGATTATCCGAGGCTTCCAACAGTGACTGGTGGAGTAAGAGTAAGTCCCAAGATGGGTCCAGAAAACTGATCAAGTTTTACATCCCAAAGCTCAGTACTGAAGGGGTTCACTGTACATACGAGGTGACCCAGCACCACAGCGACTTAGTGCAGTTAGGTGGCCGAAGGGTTACTGGGAAGCCGCTATGGGGTCCCCAACTCAAGGAGAGAGAAGCTCCAGGGTTACTTGTGAACTCACACATCTCAGTGAGGGAGGAACTGCCCCCATTTTGCAGAGGAGGAAAAAGAAAAAGGCAGGCCGGCCCAGCACCTCCCCACCCTTCTGGGGAGAAAGGGGGATACCTACTTGTAAGGCTGCCTGGCACTCTTCCACCAGGCCCTGGACCAGGTAGTACTTGGCTTCTGCCAACAGCTCCTCGATCTCCCGGCGGCTCTCGGGCAAGGGGACCGCGCCGTCACGAAGGTAGTTGAGTATCGTGCCGAAGTGTTTCCCACACCGGTCGATAAGGATCCAGCCTGCGGCAGCACAAGGACAAAGGGAGAGCCTAGTTACATGGGCACGCATCTCCTGGAAGGTTCCGAGGACTGGGGTGTCTCTTGGCTTCCTCCCCCTCACAGAGAAGAACAGGACTGCACGGGGGCTACAGCCCCCCCAGTCCTCCCGAGCTGTCAGCAAAGGGCTGACTGAGTCCTGCCTGGGAAGCACCGCAGTGATCTCTGGCCCTGCTAGCTGGAGGCCACCACAACCACGCACTCATCTGTCCCAGGCTCTCGTGGATGCCAGGACTGTGGGGTCTAAAAGCAGGTTTCTAAAGTACTCTCAAAAATCCCTCAGATGTCCCTTGGACAACCCAAGAGTGCACAAAACCTGGATAAAATGGGACCAAATGACCACACCCCAATGATTGGGAAAAAGAGAGGTAAAAATACCTACTCCCTCTTTCCACGATGCTTTCAGACCATCAAATGACAGAGCCATTTCTAAGGAAGCAGAAGACCACAGCCTCTGATTCCCAAGAGGGACCCCCGATGCCCTCCCCCTCCTCCCACCCCCCCCAGCACCACCATGGGATGTTCCACCCTCGGCTCCCCAAACAGGCCCTTACTGCCTAGTGACAGCGACCCACAGGGGAGACGGTGAGCCTGACAGACCCCGCCTCAGGCAGCTGAGTGTAACACAGGGAGACAGAACTCGCTTTCACTAACTGTGGCAAAATGAGGTGATTGCTGATCAGAACCAGGCACAGTGAGACGCACCTGGAAGCTGAGGCCAGCAAGTCAGCCCTTCCTTCGGCTTCTCAATGGCCTCTTGAGTCTGGGCATTGGTCTGCTATGCCTCTACTAGGGACCCCCAGGTTTCCACAACTCATCTTCAGAAATGCAAATACCCCAGGGCAGGGCGGGGCAAGGTGGAAATTGCAGGAGGAAAAAAGACTGGAGCCTGGAAGTGGTAGTCTCCTATGTCTCAACAGAGGCCAGGAGGATCTGGAAAGAAGCCAGTAGAGGAGTGCGCCCTCCCAGGCCCACAGGGCAGGTCTCCTGTCCCCACTACCGGTGAGAGGACACCCGTGCACAGGGCAGTTGGGTCTGAGCAGGAACTGATAATTTTATGTCCCACTTCAATTCGTCTATTGCTCAGTCTGGGAGAGGGGCCCACGCTTCCACTCCTAACACCACGGCACCCAGGCCCACGTCCCCCTCTGACCCCCCACAAAAGCCCAGAGCACCAAAGACACCTCCTTCATATCCAGAGTCACAGGTCTGTCCACCGCCCCCTTCCCAGACCTGGCCCTGCCAAGTGCGCTCTCGGGGTTTTAGGGCACCGCTTGGTATTTGCCACAATCGCCAGGAGAGTTTGGAAAGAAGGCGGTTTCCGTATTCCCGTCCTACAAACTCCTTAGTCCAACCGTCCGGTCAAAGGTCTGGCCCTGCCCCTCCAGAGGCCTGCACTTGGCACCTCCACGCAGCCACGGTTTCCGGAGCACAGGGGGAAGCGCCCTTCCCAGGCTGGCAAACACAATGCAAACGGGTGGCCTGGAGGTAAACCCTGGCTTCAAGGAAGGAAGAGCCCTTCGCAGGCATGGTAAATCACATCACCCTGACGGTGACCGCGGGACATCATCCCACCGCTTCTTTCTACGTTTAAGACAATAAAGCAGGGTTGTCGTTTCTGCCACACAGCTCGGTGGCCTCTGGGGGCCGTGAGCAAGCAGCAGGGGTGAGTGGAGGTGGGCCGGCCAGCTGCCCCTGGGGAGAGGGGCTGGGTGGGGCTCTTCCTCGCTCCAGCAGAGAGGGCCAGACAGGAATGTGGGCCCAGGGCCGCGGGAGCCTCTGACATTCCAACAGAAGCCAGAAATGCAGGTTTCTCTGGGAAACCTCCCGATTTTTAAATAACGGTAAAGCAAGATGTCATTAATCCACTCTAGGGCAAATAAGACCTATCTGCAGGCCACCAGCTTGCGACCTCTCCCCTACCCTGGATGATCCAATGCTTTCCCTCCAGGGGGCGGACAAAGGGTAGAAGGACCATGCTGTCTTCCCAACAGTTCTTTCAGTGGGCTCCTCGCCCCGCATCGTCCACAGATGACATCAGAGGCTCAGAGACATTCCAAGCTGGGGAAGCAGGACTAGATCACAAAAAGCAAGTAAGAAATTCACAGGAAAGCTCCTTTTCACCAGAATTGAGAAGACAAGGAGAATCTCACTCTTCAGAGAAATGGCAACACGTTTAACTCGGCAACTCCGGGAAGAAAACGTCCACATTCTGCCTCTGATGCTCGGAAAGAGCAGAGGCCCCTGAAATCAATTATCCAAGTGACAGTCCGGAGTTTCCATAAACGAATAGGCAGACCGTGACATTGGGCGCCAGCTCAAGAATGCTGTCAGGAAATGCTTGTGGTGAAGGAATCATACTTTGGACAAATAAGGGCAAAGGAGCGAGGCGCGCGCGCCATGAGGTTTCAATTAGCATTTTGATCTTAAAATATTTTAGTTGCTTTCAAAGCCAGAATCAACCCCCTTAGAAACAGCTCAAATGCCCAGCGTGTAGAAAAGCAAATGGAAGTCCAGCAGCTCCTGGCTTGTGGGGTACCTTTCCTGACACCATGGAGCACGCAGGCCATTTTAGAAGATGTACAAATCAGGGCAGTCTGGGGTCTGGCGGCCCGTCCGGCAGAGCTGAAGAGCAGAACAGGCAGGCGCAGAGCAGGAGGCTCTGGAACAGTCTGGGAGATCCAATACAGCCTAGTGGTTAAGGGCAAGGACCTGCATTGGAAATCCAGTTCTGCCGCCTACTTGCTGGATGACACAAGTGTGTCACCAAACCTCTGTCCTAAAACTCGTACCCCACAGGGCTGGTGTAAAGGCACGCTGAGAGAATGTACTGGAAACACAGCACAATGCTGGGTCTGTTGGCAGCACTCAAATGAGGTCTCTAACAAGGAGCCGCTTATACACCTCTTCAGCATCGCTGGAGGACAGAGCGGTAGCAGTTTCCAGAGGGGGCACAGTCCAGCCCACAAGAGAGTCTGAGTGGCTTTCGGGGTAACCCGGGGTAGGCATCTCTCAAGGACAGGGGACTGGGCAACAAGGCCTGCCTCCTCGTGCTGCTTCTTGCTCCTTTCCCTGCCCCTGCCCCTGGAGGTGAGGGGCTTCACCGACCTCTCTTAGCAGCCTAAGCTATTTAAACCATTTTTGTGGTTCCCAAACTTGCCTGTTCATAAGGCACCTGAGGTACCTGTTACATATTCAGAGTCCAGGAAGCTGCCCCATTCCTGAACCAGAGTGTCTGGGGCAGGGTTTCTCCACCTCGGCACTAGCGACATTTTGGACCAGATAATCCTGTGTTATGGAGGGACTGTCCTGTGCATCGTAGGGTATTTAGCAGCTTCGATGGTCGCTACCCACCAGAGGCCAGCAGCGCTCCGACCCCCAAACTGTGACAACCAGCAAAGATCTCTGGACATTGCCAGATGTGCCCTGGAGGGGTCATCCATGCCTTAGCATCAATGAGATAGATCAAAGACCTAGATGTAAAAAAACAATGTAAAAATTCTGACATATCAAAAAGCACCATTAAAAATGCTGTCACAAGTCAGACTGGGAGAAGATATTTACAGCATAAAATCACAAAGAAATGGGATCCAGGTTATAGACTTTCACAAAGCAGTAAGAAAAAAAAAGGAAACAGGAAAATGTGTAAATAAGATGCAATCAGGCAGCTACAATGACACACAAATGACCCATATGCATAAAAAGATGCTCAACAGACTAGAAATTAGGAAACGTGACAGAACACCAGCTCATAACCCTCAGATCGGCAATAATTAAGAGGTTCGGCTGTGCCGGGTGTTGGCAAAAATTCAGACCACTGTGGGGAGTGTAAACTGGCACAACAGCTGATTCCTAGTCAGGCCAAGGATGCCATCCGGGTTTCCCTTCTGCAAATAAGCTCCAGGAGAGAACTCCCGGGGGCAGCCAAGGTCATAAACGCAGTGGCCCTGGCTCTAGAGCCTTTTCATTCACACAATAAGAATAGGGCTTTCCGTGTGTGCCACGATGTGGCAAAGGTCGGGGAGCACCGTCCAGGACAAGCTCACCCCGCCAGGGCATGTGTGAGAAGGGCAACACTGGAAGCCATCTAAACAGCCCTCACCAGAATACGGATCCATAAACTCCGGTATCATCCCCCAACGGAACACAACCCCCAGTGTTTGGACCAGGGCTGCGTATCACTCAGGGCTAGATCCCACGAGCACACGCTACAGTGGCAAAGAGGCTGCAAACAGCGTAACACCATTTGTAACCTGTTGGGAAACACACCAGCTCTGCAGGGACAGAAACAGCAAGAGGAATTCACTCCACGTTCACATCAGTAGCCCTCACCACCGGCCGCACAGCCAAATCCCCCGCAGAGCCCCTCAAAGCCCTGACGCCCCACAGCTGCCTAAGTACCCTTGGCTCTCAGGGGAACGGGGGGGACCCAGGACTCAGCTCCCAGGTGACTCACTGTGCGGCCAAGGTTGAAATTCCCTTAGTGACCCCAAAGTCAGGCCATTGGTTACCTCTGGATGGGAGGAAGGCAAACAAATAAGGTAAAGAGAGGCCACGTGGGCCCAGGCAATGTTTTATTTCTTGTGTGAGTGGGGGTGATGTGGAGGACAAAGGCAAAAGAAATGTAGAAAAAAATTAAATCTCCTTATAGCTTGTAGCCCCCTGACAGCTACTTGAGACAGGCAGGGTGACCTTCCCCCAGGAGCTCGGCTACCTCACGTTAATCCTTTGCTAGGGGCACAAGGCAACCTTAGTTTGACCCTAGCCTAGACCGCCCGGAGCCCGGATCCTGTAAGTCCTCGTTAACATATAAAAATCCATTTGGGGGGCTCCTGGGGCACTTGGTCAGTCAAGCATCTGGAACTCTTGGTTTCAGCTCAGGTCACAACCTCATGGTTTATGGGTCTGAGCCCTGTGTGGGGCCCTGTGCTGACAGTGCAGAGCCTGCTTGGGATCCTTTCTCTCCGCCCCGCCCCCCTCCCGCCACTCGTGTGCGAGGGCGCTCGCTCTATCTCAAAACAAATAAATACACTTAAAAAAAAATCCATTTGGAAACTTCATCTCCACCCCCCAAACACATGTGAGGAATCACCCTCCAAGCGCATGGCCCACTGATACACATCTGAAGGGTCTCCTAAGGTTTTAGGGGATAGCAGTCAATGACCTTACCTTAGCAGCAGCCCCTCAAGGTCCTAGAAGCCTTCCTTCCAAATTCCTTAGAGACTTACCCTGCTCCTGACCCCTCCCGACTTAAAAGTGCATAATCAGTCACCCCTCACAACCCCAGCGCAGCTCTCCCTGCCCCTGGGTCCTGACCCTGTGCTTTCATAAAACCAGTTTTTTGGAACCAAAGACGTCTCAAGAATTCTTTCCTGACAGTTCGCTCCCAGACCCTAACGATTCACATCAGGGGCACAAGGGGGTTTGTTTGACTAATCACAATTTACAAGCTCTCACCGAATTGCAGAATTTTACAGAAGAGTATATTCTAACTTAGGGCAGGAAGGCTGGAGATGGCAGGGAAGCCACCAGGTACTACACCTGACTTCCCCGCCGGCCATCTGGCCTTCAAGGAGATGTGCGCTGACAGTAAGACTGATGACTCCATTCTGGTTCACACGCTCCCTCAATCCAAGAACATCAGCAAAAGACCAGCAACCACGGGGGGGGGGGGGGGGGGGGGGGCGGGGAGCGGAGGGTGGGGAGGCGCTGTACCAAAGCAACAGGGGCAACAGGGACCAAACAGGTGACTAACTGCAGGCGAGCCCTAAGGCAGAGCCCTTGTTAAGGCAAGGCGCCAGATCAATCTGCGTCAAGGAGTCAGGTGAAAGTCCCAGCACTCCCAGCACGGGCCTTCCTGGGGAGGAGTCAGAGAAAGGCCTGCTCACTGCCAGAGTCCCAGCCGTCTCAGGAGAGCCACCCTTTGGGTGCAAAGCGCTCGTCCCAAAGGCCGAGGGGGGCCACTTCTCCCCAAGTGCTAAGTAAGACTTGCTTCTCCGCAGCCCTGCACATGGCTCCTCCTCCGCCTGGCCGGCCCATCCCGGCAGGACGAATCGGGAATGAACAGCGCCCATCTACGGGGTCTCCCACAGCTCCCAGCTCCACCAGGAAATTCCTATTGTTAGTGTCCCCCCTCAATCCCGTAAAGCCCTGAAATGCATCACCATTCACAGCTCTGAAAAGAGGGAACAGGCACAGAGAAAGTCACCTGCCCAATGTCCTACTACCAGTAAATGACAAATGAGCCTAAGTTAGCCTAGTGGCTGATACACACAGAAACAGCTCACTCCATCAACGTTAGCTGTGAATGTTTCCGTGGGACAGAGCCAGGCCTCAAACCTGGCCCGTCTCACTCCTACACCCAAACCCTCTCACTCCAAACCTCCCCGTTTAGGAGCTGAGCGGTACAAAACTCCAACAGGCAGAAGGGCAGGAAGCAGGAGCGAGTCCACCACCCATCCTGGGCCCCACATCCTCCACAGAAGTAACCGGTCTCTCAGGCACCCTTCAGATTCCTAGCAGCTCGATACACTCTACTGTGCGGCTCTGGAGCCCCGTCCCTTGGCCAGCAGGCCGCAGTGCTGGGTCCGCGGGTCTCACCAAGCCGCTCTGGATGTTCTGGCCCATTGGTGGCAAACCTCACTGAAGCCCAGGGTGAAGCTGGGAGATGCAGGGCAAGGGTGTGTGCGGGGGCAACACCGAGGCCCCCAGCCAGGCTGTGCAGTGTACTTACCAGAGGCCAATGGGACTGCCCTGCCTGGCATGGCGCGGGCTGGGAGACAGGACCCAAAGCTGGCAGGTGACTTATGAGGGCTGCCGTGCTCAGGTGGCCAGGGGGCTGGACCCCCAGAGTAAGAGCCAGCATGCCCTGAACTCAGTAGTTTTTGTTTTTGTTTTTGTTTTTTTTTAAGTCCCATAGCTTTTAAAATGTGGTGCTATGAGCTTTTCATGATAGGCAAGGGCTGGAGTGCTGGGAGAGCTCAAAGAAAACGGCCAAGATTGGAGTGTCCAAGACAGCCCTGCTTCCCTGCACAGGCTGGGTTTTCCAGGAAGCACTGGGGACAGGACGTCCTCTAGCAGCTGTCTGGAGGCCCAAGCGGGACCCCTGGAGTGGTCCCCGCGTCTCTCCCAGCTGGGGATCTGAGAGCTGGGGGACGCCTCTTCCAGAGCGTGGCATTAGGCCAGCAAGGAGATGGGGCTCTAACTTTACTTCCAAAGCTACTCTGCCGCTTTTCCTGATCCTCCCCAGAGACTGGGTAGGGCGGAAGAACAACTACCACGACCCTGGGTTCTCAGATAAGGTCTGTTTCCTTCGGCAGCTGGGGCGCTATTGTCTCAGTCTCCACAAATACTCCCGGGGCAATGCTGGGTGCGGCACAGCTAAGGGGATCCTCCCACTCATAAAAAGCTCTGAGCTTTCTGGGTGAGACACAGAAGGAAGCTCTGGGGTTCCAACCTCCTTCACCTGACGCCTGGCCAGAAAACCAAACTCACAGGAAGCTCAGGGACACAGACCCTCCAGCCGCGCAGCCAGGCCTTCTCCAGGACACAGGGGGAAATACCCTCGCTAGCGACCAGCTCAAGCTTCCTCCCTCGTAAGATCAGAGCTTGCACTCTGTGGCTAAGTCCCCAATCCCACCTACTTGTGGCAAAACCCGCCCACCTTCCCAGGGGGAAGGCAGGGGTAGGAGCGCAGAGGCCAACCTCAGACAGGTAAGGAAGGGGCCAGCCAGGTCATAAGGAACCTCCAGCCAAAGAAGTGAGCCTCATGTGACCTGCCTCGTGAACCCAACCAAGGGAAGAATGTCCCCCCTTGCCAAGTGCTCTTGGATTGCTCCAGGTGGGTAGGAAGCAGTTGCAGTAAGGTCAAGGTCACTTTATAAAGAATTCTTCGCCTTTTACTAACATGATTTTCCATGAGAAAAAGGTAAAAAGAAGAAACACGCCCTTAACATACACCTATTGAATACTAGGCACCAATAGCTCCATGAGGAGGGTATCACCAATGGGGAAATGGGAACCGGTTAAACAACCCCGTTAGGATCACCAGATACCAAACCCAGGTCTGTGAGTCTCTGTGAGGCCCCCATCCCAGGCGACAAGGGTCCACGGATCACATTTGTGTCTCTCTCACACTGGAGTTTCACTCTCACGTCACAGAATCGTCGCTTGAGAGGACCAACTAGGGCAGCTAGTCCAGCCACCATTTTACAGAGCTGTGGCCCAGAGCGGGCAAGTGACTTTCTCAAAGTCACACAGCAAATCAACAACGAAGTCAGGACTGTGAGTCCCCACCCAGGTGTCCTCAGTTCATCTTCACATCTCAGCTCACACATCACCTCCCTGGGGAAACCCTCCCTCACAACCCACCCTGGACTACATTTGTCCTCCCAGTTACACGCTCCCAAGAGCCCCTGTACACCGAGAGAACACGAAGCGCACCTGCCATTTAATGTTGCCTTCTGAACAAGGATGTCCTTCAGGCTTACCTTCGCTGTCAGTGAGCACCTCCATGCGCCCGCTGAACATGGCTTTCAGCATGGTGTCCTGCTTGGTCAGCGTCTGCATGGTGGTGTAGTAGAGGGCCCCGCCCACATTCAGCTTCACGTACTTGGAGCTGGGGCTCGTGCCCTTGAAGGAAGTGGTGCGGGTAGCAGCCGCTGGCACCGCTGAGCTCACCACACTTTCTCCTGACATCTCTTCCTGCCGGTGGAGAAGACACACGGTCACCAGGGTCACTACACCTGGGCTGGTTTACCTCTTTCAGCCTCTGGGCAGAATCTGGCCTCCAGGTGTGGTTTGCTTGGCCCAAGTGTACACTGCATTGAAAACTTCAAGACTGCTCCAAAGGTTGACGACATGGGAGAGTTCCAAATTTCTGGCTTCTCTTAAAATTAGAGGCCGAATAGGCCAGTAGGGCAACAATCTGTGCGAGGTGGTACTGGCCCAAACCCCAGCCAGAAAGCTCATATACCGGCGTCACCTGCTGAGCCCGTGCTGTCGTGGCATGAGGACTCCCTGCCTGTTCCTCATATAAGTGAACACCCAGGGCACATCTGACCGCAGCTTAGAGCACTGCCTGGGCCTCTCTCGGTCTCCTAATTGCCACACACCACTGAAAGGCAGACAGCGCTACGTCTCAACTGAACTACAAGTGAAATGAGCTTTTACCAATTCATTGGGGTCCCAGCTACCACTCCTGATACTTCCTGTTGGGGGGAGAGAGGAAAGTGTTTCTGGGAATGAAACAGCCATTAAAACGCCTGGAAGCAAGTTACTGCAAAATAGAGACTTCCTATAAAGTGTTTCTGAGGATGAAACAGATGTGAAAAACCCTTGGAAGCAAGTTATTGCAAAATAGAGACTTCCTGTACTAGCGCCTCCCAAAACAGCAAGACCCGATGACCGTCTTATCAGTACTGCCAGCTCATGTCCATCTCAAAGAAATGGACGCACTGCTTTAAGCAGGCCTAGGAAAGAGATTGGGAGCCGGCACATGCGTACTCAAAGAAAACATCTCTTGGACAGTAAGTCTCTGGCAGGAGAAGATGTCCGAGAGTGGGCTGAATCTTTCATTGATCCGGGGCTCAGCAAAGGGGAGGCAGCCTGACGGCCAGGACCTGGCCTGGCACTCCTTTCTGGGCTTTGATGTTCCCAGTAAACATGAACAATTCATAGCACATCACCATCTGACAAAGCCACTCAGTGGCTGATGGATCAAGACACAAACAAGACTACCCCATAATTATGCCTGAACACAGACAAAAACAAGAATGTTGCCCCAAAACACAAAAATGACCAAACATCCCCAGATCCTGACTAATGTGACTCACTGCTGCTGCTTTACCAGTTAGAGCGTTAGCCCCACTCCATTCTTCCCACCTCCAAAATAGGAATTATGGAGTCCCAGTCACAGTGTTGATCCTCCTTCCTGACAGCATTCAATATAGACCAAAGCCCTACTTCCCCAAATCTTCCCCCAAATCATGCCAGCAAGCCCCAACCCTCTTTCCAAGATGCTCTCTCCCTCACTGCAACTTTGACTATAGGCATACTCCTGGGGGCTTTGACAGCACAAAACTTTTTAAAAAACAATACCCTGATCCTGAAACAGCTAACATGTATCACATGTATGATGGGTAAAATACAAACGTTATTTTTCAATGGGAGAAGGGAATAACAGTGGCAGCCTACTGTCCATCAATCGGTAATGGCAGATGCAATGACCCTGTCGAACCCCCCCCCCCCCCCCAGCCAGAAGGACTCCCGTCAGGGCCCTGCAGAATGACAGGAAGAATGGTCTTCTGGGGAGAAAAGTGTTTTTTCAGAAAGGCACACTTTCAAAAGCTCAAGCTTACCTCACCTGGGGTCTCTGTGGCCTAATACCAAACATATAAGAGGAAAAGAGAAAGCAATGACCCCCCCCCCTTCAGCTTTCCTTTGAAATCAGTCCCCAGAAACCCTACACTAATGGTTATCAACAACCATTCCCCCCAGAAAAACTCTGTCCATGGGAATGATAGAAGTAGCTGATGAGAATAAAGAGTTTCTAAAAACTTACAGACCTAGGGCGGGGGGTGGTGGGAATGAAGGCTTATAGTTGTGGGGTTGGGAGGGGGTAGGGGGGGAAAGTTAGGAAAAATTGCTCCAAAATGGAACCACTTTAAGTTCCTTTTCAGATCTAATTTACACAAAAATGTTTTGGGAAATGATCTGGCATTTTGTAAGGCACCTACTATGAAACAGACCAAAAAATAAATAAATAAATAAATAAATTTTAAAAATCAAAGCATACTCCAATATACTTTTACTTTCTGATACTTTTTCAGAGATAACTGGCACACAATAAAGCATATTTTAGGTGCACAGCGTGATGAGCTTGGGCCAGTATATGCATCTCTATAGCCACTACTCTGATCCAGACAAAGAACACTTTCATGGTTCCAGAAAGCCCTTCCATGCCTTTTCCCACTCCTCCCTCCCAGAAGATACCAGCTTTCATCTCTACCACCACATACAACCATTCAAAATCTAAACAATGCTGGAAGACGGCTATCGTTGTTTCCACCTTGTACATTTGGTGACCACATCCCAGAGAAGTTCAGTCACTTCCCAGAATGCGCTGGTGCTGGAGGTGGGGTCAGTGACAGAGCAAGTAAAAGACATGGGCAAGTCCTGTCTGGCCTTGAGCCCACGATTTTATCAACATTCATGCTTGAAATACACAGAGGTATATACAGAAATATACAGAGCCTCGCCCTCCCTTCTTTGTGAAGTAAAAAAAAGCTTTGACATGGGACACCTGGGTGGGTGGCTTAGTGGGTTAAGCAGCTGACTTCAGCTCAGGTCATGATCTCAGCTCTTGAGGTCAAGCCCCACGATGGGCTCGGTGCTGACAGCTCGAGCCTGGAGCCTGCTTTGGATTCTGTGTCTCCCTCTCTCTCTGCCCTTCCCCCAATTGTCCTCTGTCTCTCTGACTCTCAAAAGTGAATAAATGTTTAAAAAATTTTCATTTAAAAAAAAAAAGCTTTGACAATAGATGGGAGGCAATGTGTGGTGAGGGCTTGGGTTTGGACATCAGACCTGAATTTGGGCACCCAGCCCTGCCACTGATCTGCTGCAGGAGCCTGGGCGAGTCACTAGAGTCTCATCTATCAAACAGGGACAACAGCAGCGTCTCCCTCCAGGACTGCTGTGAGGGGTGTCACAGAGCACTCAGCACCAGCACGGCCTCTGGCTCAGAGCAAACACTCAAACATGAACGACTCACACCATGATTATTTCAGAATGCTCTCAGTCTCAAATGACCTTCTCTAAAGACCACGCCCATCTCCACGGACACCCATCTGAATCACTAAGAGATAAAGGCAGAAACCATCCTGATTGTAGCCTTGAGATTCCAGAATAGACACACACACACACACACACACACACACACACACACAAGCAGCTCCTAACCTTTCTGGAGCCCAGCCTTCCAAAGGCCAGTCACCTCAGTACCAGTAAAGGCCCTGGGATAAACGGTTCTGACCGTGTTCGCGTCCCTGGGCCCACACTTACATACACTGAGCTAAGGACACAAAGCAGCAAGGGATAAACCTCTCCCAGCACACCTCTCTCTACAGAAGACCCCTGGCCATTGCTACTGGGACCCTGCTTTTTCACTTGTTTCAAAGATTTTGATTTCATTATGAATGAGGTTGGGGGTGGGGTGGGGCAGGAGAGAGCAAAACCGGTTATAGGAAACAAAGATGGACTCCACACTGGAGGTCTTGGTTACCAATCGTATTCCATCAGAAAAGCTGAATCCAATTAGGTAAGTCAAGGCTTCTCTCTTTCCCACTCCCCTAAGTCTCCTGTTGCTGATTCTGAACAGTGGCTCTCTGCTCAAAAAAAGGAAGAAAAAAAAAAGTACTGACAGCAGGGTCCTCTCCATGCAAAATCTGATGTAACTGATCTGGGGGCATGGCCTAGACAATAGTTGTTTGTTTTTTTTGTTTAACTCTGCTAGGTGTTTCCAATGTGCAACTAAGATTGCAACCCACTGCTCGAAGTAGTTCTGTGCACCTTCACGAGGCTACTATTAAACTCATCATTTTGGAGAAGCTCCCCATCGTCCTGTTCGATTTGCCTGGCGAATTCCTGACCACACGTAAAAATAAACCAAAGCATCATAAGCAAAAGCCGGCCCCCGATCTCACAGCTTCGGAGCCGCAGACAGGAAGTAACTGTATCCGTGCTTAGAAAATAAAAATCAGCCCAAGGGGGAAAAGTGGTGACTTACAAAGAGGCCACGGGCAGGTGCAATAGGAACAAAGGCACCAACTCTATCCCCCTCGGATGTTTTCTAAGCAGCTCTCTGTGGAACTGTCCCCTGTGTGTGCGTGCGTGCGTGTGTGTGCTGGGGGAGACAAGCACATGGAAAGTTTGATCGAAAGTGTGAGGAACCTAGGCTACAGTCTCTGTTCCACCCCTTCCGGTGTGAGGTTGAGACAAGCATTTTTCACTGACTCTGTTTCCTAACTTGTAAAATGAAGTGAAGACCATAATCGTCACAATAACTTTCAGGGAATGTTAAAGTACGTGGCACCCGGTCCTTAGCGTACTTTCACTTCTGTCCCTTCAAGCTTCCTTAAGAGGAAGTCCCAGGTCCTGGCTGTAACTATGGTCACCTAGGTGCACCCACGCCTGGGCCTCACCCCAGGCCAATGAATCAGAATCAAAGTAGGGGAAGGGCAGCTCAGCAGTATTTAAGAAGCTCTTCAGGTCATTCTATTTCTTTTTAATTTTTTTAATGTTTTTTATTTATGTCTGAGAGAGACACAGCATGAGCAGGGGAGGGTCAGAGAGAGAGAGGGAGACACAGAATCTGAAACCGTCTCCAGGCTCTGAGCTAGCTGTCAGCACAGAGCCCGATGAGGGGCTCAAACCTATGAACCATGAGATCATGACCTGAGCTTAACTGACTGAGCCACCCAGGCGCCCCTCTTCATGTCATTCTAATGTGCGGCCCCCACTAAGAGCCACAGAGCGAAGGGGTTCCTTTAACCAGCTAGATCTCACATCACTACCCAGAGGCTAATTCTAAAACTTCCCGAAGCTCAGGGCACTGCTGCAACTCAAAAAAGCCTGCTGTTCCATTTCCACCAAAGTAAACCAAGTCAGCCACATAACTGTAGCATTATTTTGCATCCAAAACTCGCTTAGAGGGCAGTGACCGCTATTTCCAAGCGTTCTGCCGAATTACATTCTCCTCCTTTGTGTTACCGTGCAAACGACTGGGCGATTTCTCATGGGATCTAACGAGGAAGAGAGGATCACCAATTCCACTTTTGGGGGCAGAAGATTAAGAATCAGTACTATACGGGTTCTCTGACTCAGGCCCCTTTCATTGTATAGCCCAAGTCCAGAAATCCCTAATCTCCTGCAGGGCTTGTTAAAACAGACTGACGGGCCCGACCCCCAGACTGATTGGGCAGTCAATGGGAGGGCTTGAACATCTGGCCATTTCTAGCGAATTTCCAGGTGACGCTGCTGCTATTGCTGGTAGTCTAGGGAATCAGTTTGAGAACCACTGGTTTAATGCCTTTTTCCCTCCCGGTGGTCCTTATTTTGCAAAAAATGGAGCCAAGTCCAAAGGGCTAAGTTTTCTTCAGCAGCGTCCTTGAAACTTATCTTCTCTAAAGACTGCACTTTCCGGTTAAAGACATGAGGCGAAGAAGTAGAAGAGCTAGGCAGAACTTTGGTCATTCCCAGCCAGGGTCGACGAGCTGTGCCAAGGGACAGACCCTTAAAGCATCACATGCAAACAGAAACCTTCCCACAGCTGGGTGACAGACAGCTATTCCCAGCTCCTAGCCACTTCGGGCCCCAACCGAAGTGACTAGATAGGTACCAAGGTGCCAGCTAAAGGCGCTGGACTCCATGGCTAAGGGACCCTGACCTCAGGCCCCTGGTATCCCTTCAGGCGCTGGGTGCACACCTGCCCTCCAACTTCCTCTATTTCTTCCCCTCGTTTCACTAACCCCTGTGTTCTGAAGCACCTGGAAGCCCCTTCCCCACTTCCCCGAAACCCAGGCGCTCAGCCACCATTTCCAAAACCCCCAAACGCTCCGCCCCAAGGAATCCCACGTCGCTCTCTCCTAACCTAACCATTCTCTTTCGCAACACCCTCCCATCATTTTCCACCCCGATGTCCGTCCTCAAGGACCCCCTCTTTGTTCTCTTCACGATAACCAATCCCATTTCCAATGACCACTCAGGACTCAGAGACAACCTAACTCACCCGCACACAAAACTACTCCCCCAAGCGTTAATGTTCCTTCCCGATCCCCAACAGCCAGGGACACCGCCCCCCCCCCGCCAAAAAAAAAAAAAACCCACACACATATACTATTATTCACCAAAGCCCTTCCCCCACCCCCGGCCTCGCCCCCCTCCAATCCCCCAACCGCCTCTCCCCTTTCGCGACTGCCCTCATCGCGACTGCCCCCACCCCCCTCGGCCCCTTCCCCCTCTCCTCTGCCTCGGCGGAGCTTTCGCGGCCGCCGGGAGCCCACAGGTAGTGGGCACCGCCCTCCCTACCATGAAAAGTCGGAGGACGCCGGAGTCTCCAAACCCGGACTGAGAGAGGCAGGAAACACCCAGCTCACGCAAGCCGGGCAGAGGCGGGGCGGGGGCGGGAACTTCCGCTGCCGCAGCCCGCTTCCGCCCCGCAGAGGGCAACTTCTCAAAGGGTCCGTCGGAAGCCCAAACGTTGGCCGCGTTGTTGCCAACCTCCCCGTCTGGAGTGGGTTGCATCTCCTCTCGGCTGGGTCAGAACCTTGTCCCGATCTTGAATGGTCCGCTTTATTTTTTTCAGCTTCCAGAAAGGAGGGCAAGACGGAGGGAGGTTGTTCTTGCCGTGTAAAGAAGCTCTGCGGAACTGTAGTTTCCTGGAACCGGAGTGTCGGATCCCAGCGGAGCTCTGAGCGCGGACACCCCGGGGCAAGATGGCAGTCGGGCTCCGGACGCTGCCCCGGGTCTGGCAGAGCTCGGGGGTGTTGGGCTGAGGCGGCGATAGCTTCGGCCCCGACCCGGAGCGCGGGGGCCTCGAGCGGATAAAGGTCTACGGCCTGCGGGTAGCGACTGGGAGCAGGGTTTTGTGTGTTTCCGGGTGTTGGGGGGAACTTTGAAGGAGCCGGTCCTTTGGCCGGGTCCCTGCCTCCCCAAGTCGCAGGGCGGGTGCTGGGGGCTGGCTTTCGTGCTCGGGGCGGGGGGGTGGTTCTCCGTAGCCGTTTGCACCCCTTTTCAGCTCTGGGGCGATAGGCCTTTATAGACAGACTAATGCTGGGTGAAAAAGATTTGTTATTGTTGATGCCGAGGAAAGATGCTGGGCCTCAGGAGTCCCCCAAAGCAAAGTTCGAATCCTAGTCACTCGCTGTGTGACCTTGGGTGAGTTCCTTCACCTCTCCGAGCCTCGGTTTGTTCCTCTGTAAAATGGAGTCATTGGCTCGTTTCACAGAGGGAGCTGTGTAATACAAGTTTGGGTACCTGATACTCTGCTCTCTCAGTAGAGGCAGCTGGAGTTATTGACTTCAATAAAGAAAATTTGGTCGTAATTTGACTCTAACTTAGCCTTATGGGCAGCCTTGCATGCTCAGCTTTTTTTCCCCCCTGTTCATGAGCTGGGGAGTCTCTGGGTCTTGTGCGTTTCACTTAAATAATTGCTTTGGAGTTAGAAGTGGCTTCAAATTCAGGAGCTTAGTGACCTCTCACAAGTCCTGTCCCCTCTATGTTTCATTTTCTCTGTGTGAAGGCGACGCTGGTGATAACACACATCTAGATTGGCAGTAGCCTTTAATAAACGATAGCTGTTCTTATTAATAGACTAAGTCCTATTGCCTGTTCTTTAAAAATAGGACCATTTGAGACCTTGTAGGGCTGTTGAGAAGACAGAATTGACAAATACCTGGTACATCTCTGATACATGATCCGATTGTATCAGATGGTGGTGGTCATTACACCTGCCTGCCCAGCTGTTCCCACCATAGGGGAAAAGCCTGCTGGGCTCAGGCAGCAGCTGGTATTTATGGCCCTTCACCTTTGGATGGTACCCTCTGGACTCTTTCGTAATTCTCCATGAAATTGATCTCATCCAGGGAAGACTGATTTTCAGCAGAAGTCATGGGAATATAGAAGTAGAGTCTGAGTCCTGTCAATTAGTATTAACATTCTGGCTCTGCCCTTCACTGGCAGTCTGAGGCAGACTGTGGGAGATACCAAGTGATCTCACAGGGTTGCTGTTCTCATATAGAAGGGACATGACACACAGTGGGTACTTAACTTGTTTTCCTTTTTGCTTTATAAGTAATCTTGGTGTTCTAGAGTAAACTAACTTCTTGGGTTTCTAATTTTTCCACCTATATCATTGTTTCCCCAACTGGATTCTAAGTGTGTTTTGGATTTTGTTGTTATCGTTGTAAGTCTGGATGATACAGTAAAGCCCAGTTACAAGCTATCTGCTTTCAGATACTCCTTGTTAATATTTTCCCACTTAATCCCAATCGCAGCGTCCTGATGACTAAATTGGGATACAAGAAGTGTAAATATTTCAGTTAATTCTTATAGCACCCCTAGGAGGTAGGTATTATGATCCTCACTTTACATAAAGAATCTGAGGTCTAGAGAGGATAAGTAATTTGGCCAAATGAGGTCGACTGAGAATTAAAAAGAACCAGGGTTGCTCTGTATGATTCAAGGCTTTTTCTACGACACACAGCCTTTTCTTTCTTTGATTAAGTCAAAAGTTTGTGTAATCTTTCCTTACAGTTACTTTGGTTACACACTTAAAAGACTTCAGAATGTGTTTGGATTGATAAACTGATAGATTTTAGGCAGATAGAAGAGGCGAATAAGAAGGAGTTAGAAAAACTGCCAAGTACAGCCTATTTTATATGGTGTAAACAAAACCAGCATATAGCATTGCTGAGGGGATGGTAATCTCTAGGAAGAGATCTTATCCTACAAGGCCACTTGGGAGAAGTGAAAGTTTTGAGAGAGTCTTTCAGGTACTTTGTCAGTTTGCATATGCAATCTCCTATTTTTCCTTTGAAAAGAGGCTCCCCCTTTTCACCCAACCCCTCCTCCCCCCATCCACCCCCAAATGAGAAACTCTCTGCCTGTTAAGGAAGAATCATACCATTGTGCTCAGGGCTTGGGCCCTATCTTCTGCAGCTCTCTGGAGCTTGAAGCCGTTAACCAATCTAAACAGAGCCATAGCCCAAGTGACAGGACTCATGAATCTTAGCGCACCCAGGGATAGGACAAAATGTAATGGGCGGGGGGGGGGGGAGAACGTAAGGGCCCTCAGCGCCTAGACAGATGAGAGCCCCTACCACAAAATTTAAGGAAAAAATTTGCATCTCTACGAAGAATACATCAAGTAGACTTAGCGTGTAATCTGTCAGTTACCTTGATAGGTATTTGATGTACATTGTCTCATTAAGTCCTCTTTAGCCCCAGCCAGCTGGCCAATGAAGGCAGAAAGGGTCTGAGACGTCTCCTTATGGTAGGTGCACGGCAGAGTAAGCAGCCCCGGCAGCACGACTCCAAAGCCTGCATGCCTCTCCCAGTGCCGCACGGCATCACTGCATGCTGTCCGCAGAGAGTTTGGGAAACTAGTTCAGGAAGCAGAACTTCCCATCGTTCCTCCTCCTCCAAACAACCATTCTCTACATATTGTTTTTCATTTCTCAGGTGTAAATGCTTTTCATTTGCATTAAAAAATGCCACACATAATTTTCAGCAGCTTCTTAACACTCCATTCCTCTCTGTTCAAGCTTAGTGTCATAAAGCATGTACAGCTTCAATTCAGCTTCTTTGGGATTGTTTTCAGTCTCTTCCCTTAAAATTGGAGGCCTGGGGAGGTACAGTATAACCGTTAAATGAGACATTAAGGGGTACCTGGGTGGCTCTGTCGGTTGAGCGTCCGACTTCTGACTTCGGTTCAGGTCACGATCTCACAGTTTGTGGGTTCAAGCCCTGCCTCAGGCTCTGTGCTGACAGCTCAGAGCCTGGAGTCTGCTTCCAATTCTGTGTCTCTCCCTCTCTCTGCTCCTCCCCTGCTCGTGTTCTCTCTCAAAAACGAATAAACGTTAAAAAAAAAATTAAATCAGACGTTAAGTAAAAATGAGAATACTAGTGTTCTAAACCAGAGGCACCTTTTATTACTTTTATTCAGTGCAGAAGATATAAGATGCCCTGCCTGTAAAACTTAACCCTGGATCTGGATTTTTTATTTTTCCTTCTGCTTCTGCCAGGAAAGACCATCTCCTCGGAAGCCAAATGCTGCCCTCGGCATAGCAAGTCCTATGCAACATCACTAATGATTCCCTGGCATTTCTGTGTCACAGGCAGGTCCTCAGGTGAGCTATTCAGGCTTCCGCTGGGCAGAGACAGGTGATTGAGAAGACTGCTACCTTTTCCTCCCCTGCCTTCTTGCCCTCCCTCCTGTGCCCTGGCCAAAGCCAGGAGGGCTTTGTTTATTTGTTTTGACGATTACTGGTGAGAGACCCACATGTTGCTGAACAGACGTGACTCCCGTGTTGAAAAGGGACCACAGAGGCCCCTCAGTATGTTGACGTGGACAGAGCCTCGAATGAGCTTTTTATTCTCGAAGATCTTTTCGTGTGGGCACTGTGTTGAGGGAGGTAACACAGCAAAGGGATGGTTTTCCAGGAGTCTGGATTTCTGAGTGATCTGTTTCAATAATTTTGTCAGCTGGGCCACTTATATATTAGGGATAGGATGACAAAGTTTGCAAGCATCCAAAAAAATCATCTCAGCGTGGGAGGCTCCGTGGCCCCATGTTGTGTGTCTGGGCTGATAGCCAAAGCCACGTGTTTGGGAAAAGACAGTTACTGGTTATTTGGATAAACGTGTAATGGCCCTTTTTCCAAAAACAAAAAAGAAAGGCTTCCTTTGTGCCGGACACAAAATAGGTATCAGTAAATATTTGTTGAATGAACAGATCAATGAAATAATGGTGATGGTTAATGTTCAATTTTTTTTTCCTTCAAGTCTGTACTTGGCAAAGTAAATTTGACTGTTCAGCGTTAGACTGATCTAGAAAATTCAAATACCTAGGAACCTTTGACCTAGAGCCTGCCTGGTTTGAATTAGAGTTTAATGGATGAACTTGAGAGCCCACATGCAATGGCAGATACTGTGGCCTTTCTCTTAAGAAGAAGTCATTATTTAATACAGGAAAAAGCATCACTGGTCTAGATGAGGGGCCTGAACAGAGCCGCTAGGTAGGAAGTTGGGACTCGTGCCAGGAGAGCTCTTAGCCCTTTTGGAGGGAACCCAGGGGTCCTGAGTAGCTCAGCTGCTGCCAACCCTTGGCTTGTGAGCCCCTTCCTGTGTGTGCTCTTCCTGAATGATCCATATCAGCCGCTCGCCATTTTCCTTGCAGGGTTGGTGCCGGTTTGCAAACATGTTCACCGTTTCTCAGACCTCGAGAGCGTGGTTCATCGACAGAGCCCGGCAGGCCCGGGAGGAGAGGCTGGTGCAGAGAGAGCGGGAGCGGGCAGCCATCGAGATCCAGGCCCACGTCCGGAGTTTCCTTTGTCGGAGGCGACTGAAGAGAGAGACCCGGTGGGTGCCATGAGCTCCTCAGCGCGTTGTCCCCTGCTACCAAGTCCTAGCAAGAGAAGACGGCGTTCTCGCCTACCGTTCTCGAAAAGCCTTCCAGCTGCTCTGAGCTCCTGATGTAAAATGTCTTTTCCCCCGTCCCCTTCCCCCTCCAGGAGAGAGATCGATGAGTTTTTTAAAGCAGATGATGTGGAGTCCAGTAAAAGAAGCGCACTTTGTGTTTTTAAGATTGCCAGGAAACTGCTGTTCGTGTTTAGAATTACAGAGGATAATGAGGTAAGATAATAATAGCAAACACTGTGCTTGCCCATCTGCCAGGTCTTTTGAAAGTAGTTTGCGAATACTGATTCATTTGATCCTTAAAACCACTCTACCGGATAGATTCTGTTACCGCCACATCCTGCCCTTTCTGTTCTCGGGACGTGTTTTGTGGGGATTATATCTTCTGAGAATCATCACGATTCTTTTTACATTGACCTTGACAAGCACTCCCGACTCAGATGCAGATGGGAGTGAGGCAGCTTGGGCAACTGAGCGGAAGAAGCCACTTACGGGAGAAAACATAACAAGAAATGATAATAACCAGGAGCACCTGGGTGGCTTAGTCGGTTAAGTGTCCGATTTCGGCTCAGGTCATGATCCCATAGTTCATGGGTTCGAGCCCCATGTTGGGCTCTGTGGTGACAGCTAGCTCAGAGCCTGGAGCCTGCTTCAGATTCTGTATCTCCCTTTCTCTCTACCCCTCCCCTGCTCAAGCTCTCTTGCGCGCGCGCGCTCTCTCTCTCTCTCCCCCTCCCTCCCTCTCAAAAATAAATAAACGTTAAAAGAGAGAAATCTTAGTAAGCAGTAGCTGACAGGAGGCGGTGGTGATGGGGATGCTGAGGGCAGTACAGGGAGAGACGGGGTGTGTGGCATGGCCACGCTAGGGGGTCAGCCACCCCTGGGCTCCAGCCAGCAGCGGACTGCCACTGTGGTTTCTGAAAAGAGGTGCTGGAGATCCTTGTGCTTCGTTTTGTAAAAGGTATAAAACTTGGTAGCTAATTTGCAATTTCTTTTAAATCCCGTAAGCCAAACCAAACAGGCAGGTTGCACTTTTGGGACTAGAATGATCCACCTAGAAACAGATCCAGGAAGTAGCAAGTCGTCTGTGATAGTCCTGATGATCCTGTCAAGGAGGGCCTCTGTGCTCCCAGGGGCTGGGCGCTTGTGCCAGACCCTCTTCTAGGCAGTGGGGCCCCAGAAGGAATGACATGGGCAGGGTCTCTAAGCCTGGGGAACACGTAGCCCAGAGAGAGGAGGACTACACAGGCAGGTGCCGTGAGGTGACCCCTGTTGACAGAGGAGACTGCAGTCCCCACCCTGCAGACGGTGGAGGTGGCTGCCCAGGGCCGAGGTGCTTTGGAGGGTGGGTCCAGGCCTGGTATAGACAGCGTAACTTGCTTCCCAGTTTCCACTTTCCTTCCTTTTGCATTTCGAGTTGTAAGTGACAGTGTGACAGGTTGTGGGGGGAAAGTCCGTGTCTGTGGTGCTTACAGAGTGGCCACCGGGAGAGCGTGACCCAGGGGACAGCTGCTGGCCCGCAGGAGCGCAGGCCCGGATGGCCAGGTGGATTGTGTTTTTCCCAAAGGAGCCCCGGGCAGAGACGCATGTGTAGGGCTCACCCAGCCTGCGGGTCGCCAGTCTGACCTGCAGTTCCTACCTCTGTAAGGGGGAGCTGAGTGTGAGCATGCACGCGAGTCACCTGGCCTACGTGAGTGCCTCCATGCGCAGGGGCCTGCGGGACGCTTGCTGCTTCCCCAGTTCACTGGGGCTTGCGGAAACATGTGACATACTCCCCTCCCCTGTCTCTTTGCAGAGATTTGAGAAGTTGTGTCGCTGCATCCTGAGCAGCATGGATGCTGAGAACGAACCCAAGGTAAGCAAGACGGGGGCCGGGAGGTCTCCCACAGGCTCTTAGGCCAACTTCTTTGGTTCTGGAAGCTCCTGTTAGATGTTACGACTTTGTTAGGTAGGAGTTTGCATACATGTGCACACACATGTGCCTTCAAGTAATGACTTGGAAACACGAACACAGTGCAGCTGGGTCTCTTAGTCTTTTCATTACCCAAGGACTACGTTCTCCTCTGCCCTCTTACTCAGGATGGCAAAGTCCCATACCAGGCTATTTTATCTCTGGTTTAGTGTTAAAGTGAGTCCTGCTCACTGCTTATTCACCTGTGCATCCCCACTGCCCCCTCCAGCGCTGGGCCCAGTGAACTGGTCCCGTCCCAGTAGCTAGAATAGAGGTAATTTGGTCCCTGTATCTGCCTGTTACAGTCTTCTTTGTCTTGCTTGTAGGTGTGGTATGTGTCCCTGGCTCTTTCCAAGGATCTCACCCTCCTGTGGATTAAACAGATCAAGCACATTCTTTGGTATTGCTGTGAGTTTCTTCAGCAGCTCAAGGTAAAAACAAAACGAGACACCTGTAAATATATTCTTTTCATTGTAAACATATTCCCTCTCCTTGGAGGCCTTTAGAGTATATTTTGAAAGTCCTCAAGATTCCTTCATAGGTTATCTCTTTGGAAGTTTATCAGTCTAGTAAAGAATTATCCAAGCCCCTATTCTAGGGGAGAGCAAGCTAGGTACTGTTATCAGTCCAAGCCCTTATTTCTTCCACAGATAACATTTTGAACATTGGCTTGTGCTCACCACAGTCTTGATGCCTAGGAATCTGTTGTCTTTTTTTTTTTTTTTTTTTTTTTTTTTTTGCTCTAATGGATAGTTATCATTTATATTATTATACTAGTCAGGCTTCTTGTTACAAGTCCAGAAACCCAGGGCACCTAGGTAGCTCAGGCAGTTAATTAAGTGTCTGACTTCAGCTCAGGTCATGATCTTGGGGTTCATAAGTTTATGCCCCGTGTTGGGCTCTGTGCTGACAGCTCAGAGCCTAGAGCCTGCTTTGGATTCTCTGTCTCTCTCTCCCTCTGCCCCTTCCCCACTGGTGCTCTGTCTGTCTCTCTCAAAAGTAGATAAACATTAAAAAAATTTTTTTTTAATAAAAAACAAGTGCAGAAACCCAACATGAGTGCAGCTGATAATACATACAAGCCAAGCAAGAAAGAGCGTTTTTTTAAATGTTTATTTGTGGGGGGGGAGGGGCAGAGGATCTGAAGCGGGTTCTGCGCCGACAGCAGAGAGCCCGATATGAGGCTGGAACTCCCAAACCGAACCAGGAGATTGTGAGCTGAGCGAAAGTTGGACGCTCAACCGACTGACCCAACCCAGGCGCTCCAAGAATACTTTTTATGGAATGTTCTCTGTAACATGGCAGCCAGGGATGACCAGAGCCGGAGCTTCTGGGATTCTCCCTCATTCCCTTCTCTCCTCCTGGCTCCCTTTTGGAATCACTTTGTTCTGTCCTGTTGTAGTTGCAGTAGCCGGCTGTTGTAGCCTCACATCCTCACTCCATCTTGACCAAAGGGAGAAGGGAGGCCTCCCCCGCTAGTCTAGAAATCAGAGAGGACTCCTCAAGACTCAGTGGCATCCTGGTCTCAACCTTGAACTAGTCACAGTGGCAAGACGGGGGAGGTGCTGCCACTGGCCCTTCTGGTCCTGTGTCCCCCCACCCCCACCCCCCCCCCCCCCCCCCTTAGGAGAAGGTGGGCAGAGGTGTGAGTGGCTGCAAACAGTGGACATTTTCACTTCGCACGTGGGGAGTGAGGGTTCAGGGACAGGCTTGACTGAGGTGGGAGGCGAGGGATGGAGATGTCCCCAGAGCCCTGCCTCTCTAGCCGTCTCTCTCAGGGCACTTGGGAATGACTCTCACAGCCAGTCAGCTTGCCTTCCAAGAGTTCTCCCTCTCTGTTCCCAAGGGTGTCTCGGGTTCCATGCTCAAGGGTTCGTGTGCCGGTGTCCTTGTCCCTGAACTCCCGACGTGGTCCTTCCCCAAGGGAACAAATGGGGCCAGTCCCGACTGGCTTATCGGCTGAGCGCGTGCATGCAGGCTGTGAGTGGCCGCTCCACCGTGGGACTCACACCTTCAGCTTCATCTCTCTGTTGTTTCCAGCCTGAAATCTTACAGGACTCCAAACTCATCACGCTGCACCTCACCATGCTCGTCACCTTCACAGACACTTCAACGTGGAAGATTCTCCGTGGAAAAGGTCTGTGGCGCCTGCTTCAAAATCTCTCCCAAGTAGCATTTGCATAGGGACCTTGGGGACCTTTTCGCCTTTTTAAGAAGCATTTTGGCGCCATGGCCCCAGGGAGGTACCGATGAAGGTGACCTTGGTGACCTTGGCGCTTCCGTCAGAGAGCACTGTAACACCCAGAATACGTTCAGGGTTGTGTGTTACAGTCTCACCTCTCTTTGAAGTTATGTTTCAAGGTGTGGTCCCTCTGAGCTCAGGTTTTAAAACTCCCATAGCACATCCGCCTCCAGGTGACAATATTCGCTCAAGCCTTGTCATTCGCGTCACAATCATCAGGCAGCAGATAATTCTATTTTGTCCGTAAGATTTGCATCGTGAAGCTCCCTCCTTCCCCGGATGCCGTCCTGAGCCTTCCATGTTTTGTACGTTTGCTTTGTCTTTCCGTTTGGCAAACAGCCTCCTCCGTGCCTCACACTGAGCGGGCACTGGAGATACAGAAGGCCGCTGCCCTCTGGGGGCCGCAGGTGCCGAACGACTGCTGTGCGCCCGCCCCTCCCAGAGCTGGAGTCCGGTGGCAGGGACGGGCACTCAAGGGAAGTCCCGTGCATGTGACTCTATGTGAATATAGAAAGGACTTAATGTGAACACACGCATGTCACGACAACATAGCGCTTGGAAGAAAGACTGCAGAGAAACAAGAACGTTGAGCAGACCGGGGAGGCCCTGCCTCGCTGTGCAGGCTCAGGCTCCTGCAGAAGTGATGTCTGAGCAAAGAGCTGGAGGGAGAGTTGGGGGGACTTTGAGAACACAGGCAACTGTAGGTGCAAAGGCTCCTCGTCAGAAAAGAGGGATTCTTTAAGGCGTGGACTGTGGGGCCGGGGCAGGTGGGTGGGCATTTAAAGCTTGGTGAGTTCTGACCTTGAGTTCCAGGGTGCTTCTATCCCCGCGGGGGGAGGTGGCCACAGAGAGCAAAAGGTGCCAGGCCCTCGGAGTGAATTAGGAAAGGTGTGACAGGTGCTCAGAAGCTAGGGACGTTACTCCTGGCTAAGGAAAATCATAGGACCTGTCACCTAAGAGGTGACAATTGAACCAGACCTTCCAGGAGAGAGAATTCTGGAGCTCAGCCTCTCCCTGTGCTCTGGTACCAAGCTGAAGGGGAGTAGGGAGACAGGCCTCAGAAAGTATGGCCTTGCGCCTGGGGTACCCCATAAGCCTCAGGCTGGTGGTACGCTATAAACAGTTCACAGTCAGGCCAGAGCCTTTTTTTCCAGACTCTTTTCTTCATTTAGGGGAGAGTCTTCGACCAGCCATGAACCACATCTGTGCAAACATAATGGGACATCTCAACCAGCGTGGATTCTATCCCGTGCTACAGGTTTGTGAGCTAGTCCCCTAACACGTGACCTCCGTCTTCAATACCTGAACTTGAGTGTTTACAGCTGATTTCGGCACACCTGGTGCCCTCTTCACAGAAACCTTTTTGCAGGAGGAGTTTAATGCTCAGCATCCTGTCCCTCCCCCCCGCCTTGAGTCGGTTGTGATCTGTGTTTGGGGGGGACGGTGGCACTGGGGTCCCTTCATTGTGCTACATCTTTGGCTATGGGAATAACCCAGCCATTTGACCTTTGAAGTTGAGAAGGGGGCCTCAGGCTTGGTTCCCTTGGCTTCCTTCTTGGGTGAGGTCTGGAGTTCCCTTTCTTGCTGTGTCCATACCGCCCCTGATTGTGCCAGCTCACACCCCCAGGGGATTGCCAGAACTCTCATCACAGTTTCAAAGCGCTTTGGAATTCTCAAGTTTAGAAGTAGCATTGATTGAGCCCTTCCTTCTGCCTGGTGCTGAGAGGGGCTCCTTCCTGATCGGGTTTCCTCTTCTCACACAAACCCTAGGCTGGGGGGGGGGGGGGCTGACAGCCGAAGGCAGTGCTGTTGACAGCACATCTCTGTGAGGAATCTTCTGGACGCCAGAATATAGGAGTAGCATACATGTGAAATTTTAAGTCTGGGCGTCTTTTTATTGGCTATAAACTTGTTTGGCTGTTTCTTATTTTAAAAATTTAAACACAGTGTTTAGAGAGACAGTGGTATGATGAAGGAGGAACCCTTTACTTTCCTCTCCATTTTTAGAAAACATTCTAAATAAGGTTGGTTTTTTTTTTAATCTGAAGCACTCATTTTACTTCTCAGCTGTTTTTTCACGTACAAGTGACTGTGGGTTGGCATTGGCCCCTGACCAGTTAAAATGTTCTTTTTCAGATGCTGTTAACCCGTGGCCTGGCAAGACCCCGGCCTTGTCTGTCCAAAGGCACTTTAACAGCGACCTTTTCTCTCGCGCTTCGGTGAGTAACTCACTGCAGCTGAGGGGCCGGCGTGCTTCGGGAAACTTCCTCCTCGCTTTCCCTTCCTCCTGTTCCTCGAGTTATGTGTGGGCTTGCCTGTTCTGTTCTCTTCACTGATGGGGTGCATCTGTGGCAGCTCTGTTTGTGCCTCTGCATTTTTTGCATCGTGATTTGAAAGAAGCTTTTCAAAGTGAATTTTATTGTGCCAGGGGCCCAAATCCAAAGCATTTTTCCTTTTGAACTTTTAATTGGTAAGATAAAGAGAGCCCCTCGAGTTGGAGGCCTGGTGAAAGGCAGAGCAGAGGGCAAAGGGAGTGGTGTTGTGAGCCCGGGTTTAAAATGTTAGAATCTGGGGTGCCTGGATGGTTTTGTCGATTAAGCGTCCAACTTCAGCTGAGGCCATGAACTCGTGGTTCGTGGGTTCGGGCCCTACATAGGGCTCTGTGCTGACAGCCAGCTCAGGGCCTGGAGCCTGTCTCAGATTCTGCATCTCCCTGTCTCTCTAACCCTCCCGTGGTCACACTGTCTCTCTCTCTCTCTCTCTCTCAGAAATAAATAAAACATTAAAAAAATAAATAAAATGTTAGAATCTGGGGCGCCTGGGTGACTGTTGGTTCAGCATCCAACTGTTGGTTTCAGGTCAGGTTGTGATCTCACAGGTTAGTGAGATCGAGCCCTGCTCCGGGCTCTGTGCTGATGGTGCAGAGCCTGCTTGGGATTCTCTGTTTCTCTCTCGCGCGCGCGCTCTCTCGCTCTCTCTCGTTCTCGCTCTCTTTCTCCCTCCCCCGCTCATGCTCTGTTTGTTTTTCTCAAAAATAAAGAAATAAATAAAGTACAATAAAATGTCAGAATCTGGAGGCCCAGAGAGATTGTACTGTTTGCCGTCACTTAGATTGGAGATAAAAAATTCATAAGGAGCTATATACTTCCATACAGAAATTGTGCCTGCAGTTCTGAGAATCATCCAGTGCACAAAGCTGTGTTTGTTAATGAGTCCGGAATATTCTTAAACCGCTGAGAGGAGCCCAGACTTAGAGGAGATGTTAATAAGATAATTTAACCATCTTAATCCCGAGATAATAACAACTTGGGGCACGGGGAGTGTTGTGGTTAGACGGCGATGTGGAGCTCCCTGCTCTGCCCCCTTGTAATCCCCAGGGGCACCTCGACCACAGAAAGCTCTTGACGAGTGCCAAGGTCTAAGAACCTTTAGGCTTGTTTAATCCAATGTTGGCCCAAACACCTCTGAACGTGGAGTACCCTCACTTCATTTTCACTGCTGGAGCGTGTCTGTCGGTAGACACGGACTCCCTCCCTGTGGATTCCTGGTTTAGCAAACCATGGTCTAGAATATAGGTTCGTCAAACTTTTTCTGTAAGGGGCCAGCTAATACGTAGTTTCACTTCTGTGGCCCATGCAGTGTCTATCACAACCACCCTGCTGTTATGGCACGGAGCACCTATAGACCATATGCACATGGATGAGAATGGCCATGCTTTGTTAAAACCGTGTTTGCAAAAATAGGCAAGGGGCACAGCTTGGCCTGTGAGGCATATTTTGTCACTCCAGGTCTAGACTGTGCTTTCCGCTAACCATTAGCCACTGGGGGTTGTTTAAATAGACGTCTCTTAAAATTAAGAATTCAGTTCCTTGAGGCATCTGGGTGGCCCAGTTGGTTGAGCATCCGACTTTTGATTTCTGGTCAGATCATGATCCAGAGTCATGGGATCGAGCTCCATGTTGGGCTCCATGCTAAGTATGGAGACTGCTTAAGGTTTTCTCTCCCCCTCTGCTTCTGCCCCCTGCTCACATTCTCTCTCTACCCCCCTCTTTAAAAGTAAAAATAAAATTAAAAACAAAGAAGAATTCAGTTCCTCAGTTCCATTAGCCACATTTCAAGTGCTTTGGGACCACATGAGCCTGAGCAGTGACAGCCTTATTGGACCACACAAAGAGGAAGCATCTCCACTATCACGGAAAGTTCTGTTGGACAAGGCTGGTTTAGAGCAGCCTTCTCTGCAATGAGAACCACATTTTCAAAGTCCAAAAAAAGGGGGAAATTGTTTAAAAACTGTATATCCAAAATAAAACCATTTCCACACGTAGTCAGTCTTTTAAATTCTTAATTTAGTTAAAATTAACTTGAGCACCTACTTGGCTCAGGCAGTTAAGCATCTGACTTCAGCTCAGGTCATGATCTCACTGTTTGTGGGTTTGAGCCCCGCGTTGGGCTCTGTGCCGACAGCTCAGAGCCTGGAGCCTGCTTCAGATTCTCTGTCTCCCTCTCTCTCTCTGCCTTTCCCCTCCTCACACTCGGTCTCTCAAAAATAAATAATAAACCTTAAAACAAATTAACTTAATCATTTATTTCTTTTCATACTGAGTCTTCAAAACCTGGTGTGTATTTTACCCTTAAAGCCTATCTGCATCTGAACTAACCACATTTTAAGCGGCTAGGAGCCACACATAGCTACTGCGTCGGACAGCCCATTCCTAGAGGCGAGATCCTTCCGAGAAGGAACGGGTCCGCCAGCAGTGCTGTAGTTACAGCAGTAGACCAGACTGCTTCAGAAACGGTTACACCTTCCTTTCCGACACTGAGAGGAGTCGTATTTAATGAGTCATGAGACGTAGGTGCAGACAGGTTTTCCAGCAGCGTCTCTCTCTGAGTCACCTTCTGGAGCAGCCCATTGCAGCATCGCCCACTCTCCCCGCGTGTCGGGGGCAGGGAAGGGTTGACACACAGGTGCCTGAGCTCCAGGGCGGGGCAGCTGCACTGCCACCTCCTCTGTCTCCTGAGGACAGAAGTCCTTCTTTCTGTTCCAGCGTCCCTCGCCCGTCCCAGCGTGTTGTAATTCAGAGTGAGTCACCGAGAAGGTCACATCCAGCCAATCCGGCATGTTCCTTCTCCTTTAAGAATATGGTTGCCTCCATCACCTTAGACTTTTTCATTCTGTACGTTAGAGCCTGTTGACTCACTCTGCCTGGGCAGCTCTCCAGCCTTCTCCTTAAATAATGTCCTTTTTCCCCTCTGAGTACTTGTATGTAATCGAACATGGCCAGGACCTTTTAAAACAAAACAGCTGGTGGCTTTGTCATACTGGGATGTACTACTGAAAGTCTGTGCAATCGTAAGCGATGCGTTTGGATGCAATTGCTAAATCCTATGATGCAAATAGCCAACATTTGTGGGCCACACGATTGTTTTAAGATTTTTACCCTCATTAACCGACTCCTCACCACATTCTCTAATCTTGGTTTTATAGATGAGGAAGCTCAGGCCCAGAGAGGTTAAGGCACGTGCCCCTGGTCACNAAGACTCAGTGGCATCCTGGTCTCAACCTTGAACTAGTCACAGTGGCAAGACGGGGGAGGTGCTGCCACTGGCCCTTCTGGTCCTGTGTCCCCCCCCCCCCCCCCCCCCCCCCCCGTGTGTTAGGAGAAGGTGGGCAGAGGTGTGAGTGGCTGCAAACAGTGGACATTTTCACTTCGCACGTGGGGAGTGAGGGTTCAGGGACAGGCTTGACTGAGGTGGGAGGCGAGGGATGGAGATGTCCCCAGAGCCCTGCCTCTCTAGCCGTCTCTCTCAGGGCACTTGGGAATGACTCTCACAGCCAGTCAGCTTGCCTTCCAAGAGTTCTCCCTCTCTGTTCCCAAGGGTGTCTCGGGTTCCATGCTCAAGGGTTCGTGTGCCGGTGTCCTTGTCCCTGAACTCCCGACGTGGTCCTTCCCCAAGGGAACAAATGGGGCCAGTCCCGACTGGCTTATCGGCTGAGCGCGTGCATGCAGGCTGTGAGTGGCCGCTCCACCGTGGGACTCACACCTTCAGCTTCATCTCTCTGTTGTTTCCAGCCTGAAATCTTACAGGACTCCAAACTCATCACGCTGCACCTCACCATGCTCGTCACCTTCACAGACACTTCAACGTGGAAGATTCTCCGTGGAAAAGGTCTGTGGCGCCTGCTTCAAAATCTCTCCCAAGTAGCATTTGCATAGGGACCTTGGGGACCTTTTCGCCTTTTTAAGAAGCATTTTGGCGCCATGGCCCCAGGGAGGTACCGATGAAGGTGACCTTGGTGACCTTGGCGCTTCCGTCAGAGAGCACTGTAACACCCAGAATACGTTCAGGGTTGTGTGTTACAGTCTCACCTCTCTTTGAAGTTATGTTTCAAGGTGTGGTCCCTCTGAGCTCAGGTTTTAAAACTCCCATAGCACATCCGCCTCCAGGTGACAATATTCGCTCAAGCCTTGTCATTCGCGTCACAATCATCAGGCAGCAGATAATTCTATTTTGTCCGTAAGATTTGCATCGTGAAGCTCCCTCCTTCCCCGGATGCCGTCCTGAGCCTTCCATGTTTTGTACGTTTGCTTTGTCTTTCCGTTTGGCAAACAGCCTCCTCCGTGCCTCACACTGAGCGGGCACTGGAGATACAGAAGGCCGCTGCCCTCTGGGGGCCGCAGGTGCCGAACGACTGCTGTGCGCCCGCCCCTCCCAGAGCTGGAGTCCGGTGGCAGGGACGGGCACTCAAGGGAAGTCCCGTGCATGTGACTCTATGTGAATATAGAAAGGACTTAATGTGAACACACGCATGTCACGACAACATAGCGCTTGGAAGAAAGACTGCAGAGAAACAAGAACGTTGAGCAGACCGGGGAGGCCCTGCCTCGCTGTGCAGGCTCAGGCTCCTGCAGAAGTGATGTCTGAGCAAAGAGCTGGAGGGAGAGTTGGGGGGACTTTGAGAACACAGGCAACTGTAGGTGCAAAGGCTCCTCGTCAGAAAAGAGGGATTCTTTAAGGCGTGGACTGTGGGGCCGGGGCAGGTGGGTGGGCATTTAAAGCTTGGTGAGTTCTGACCTTGAGTTCCAGGGTGCTTCTATCCCCGCGGGGGGAGGTGGCCACAGAGAGCAAAAGGTGCCAGGCCCTCGGAGTGAATTAGGAAAGGTGTGACAGGTGCTCAGAAGCTAGGGACGTTACTCCTGGCTAAGGAAAATCATAGGAC